AGCAGCCGGGCCCTTCCCTTCTCCAGGCCCAGAGAATCCTCCATCAACAAGATGACAGCCACTCGGGAAAAGAGCCATAGTCCGCTGGCAGGAGGACCTTGACCGCGTGGGGGCCCCGGCCGGCCCAGCCCGCTGGAGCCCCTTCCCCGGGAGAGAGCGCCGCCTGAGTGTCCCGAAGAGAACTCTCTGGATGCAGCCAGCAGAGGAAGCCGCGTGCCCCAAGGGGTGGCCGGCCCTGGCGAGGCTTCCTGGCGCGGACCCAAGCCCCGGAGCCCGCAGCTCTCCGCAGGGGAGGGAGCCGCGCCTCACACGCGTGGCCCGTGGGGTTTTGTACTTTCCTTTCTCGTGGTTCTCCACGCCCCCCTCTTTGTTCCAGTCTCGCGTCTGCGACCTCATTCCACGACCCCGGAAAGCCATGCTTGCGAGGCCGAGCCCGGGCAGGTGGGGCCCGCGGGCCAGGAGAGCAGGGAGGCTGCGCCCCAGAGCCTGGCGGGGAACCAGCCCGCGGCCCTGGGGGCTTTCCTTGTCGGGAATGATGGCTGCTCACACTCGCACGCGCGCACACACCCCTCACTCCCTCACTCACACTCGTGCACACACCCACACTCACGGGAAACGATGGGTTTGTCAACACTCACTGTAGTACATAAAGCTTGCACTCTGCGTCCTATATCTAGCAGCATGGGGTACGTTTGGCAGTTCACCCCAATAGGGGGTAAATAATTTATGACCATTCATCTGTTTTTATGAATTTTTTTATCTAGACAATAATTGTAAATAAAGAACTCACCGTCTCTGTTCATTTACTACTATGCAATGGTAATGCTTCTGATTGCTGACTCTTCCTGCTGCCGCAGTGTGGTTCTGAAATGTCTGTGGTTTATAAACAAAAAAAAGGCACAAGGCGACATCACACGGAACGCCGTCAACATGTCCTCTGTCGTGTGCACCTTCCGGCTCGGGACCGCACCGCCGCCTGGCTCCGTCCTGACCCCGGCACCGGGCTCCGGGGCCAGGTAGCAGGTTCAGCGCTGAGGCCTAAGCTCGCGGCGCGTCCCCCCCCAGCAGCTGAGGGAAGACCAGGGGCCCATTCAGTGACCCCGGGGGCTGCGGGTCACCCACCTTGGAGGTGGGCAGGGAGGAAACGGAAGACTTTCCTTCCTGCGACTGGGGCAGGGTCTTCCCTCACGCAGCAGCGGCCTCCGCGGCTCCCACCGGCCCCGCGCCCGCCTGCGGGCCCGTCCCGTGCGGAGCAGAGGCAGAGGGCTGAGGGCTGCCGAGGAGGCCGCCTGCTTCTGGCGCCAGCCCAGTGGCCACGGCTGCTCGGGGCAGGGGCCGGGACCTGGCTCCCGCGGGGTACCCCAGTTGCCTCACAGCCATTCTTCCCACCGTGTTGAAACGCACCGTCCCCTCAGGTGACGCTGCAGAATCTATTTCTGGAATTCCTCCTCTGCCCCCTTTTCTGGCTGTCTGACCTGGCACCAGCCACCCAGTTTTAATTACCGTCACTTTATATCCCGTTTTACTGTGTGGTGGGGCAAGTGCCCTTCACTTTTTGCCCCCCTTTTTTACAAAATTTCCTGGGCTGTGCCTCCTCTTCTATGTGTCCCCTATTCCTGCAAAATAACGTTAAAATTGTGCCCCGCCCCCCCCCCAGCCAAATACGGGCCTGTGCTTCTGGGAGCAGCCCCCCAGAGGGTCCTGGGAGAGAGTCCCCGCCCCGAGTTCCTAAGCCAGGGAGTGGTCTGGAAGGCTGCTGAGCCCCCGTCCATCTCTTTGAACCTAAACTCACCCTCCCTGGTTGTGCTCAGTGGACCCCCCATCAGCCCGGTCCAGATGAGAAAAAAGGGTCCCCCCCCAGACCTGGAACTACCAGAATGCAGGGCCCACTGTCTAGACGTCTAATCCTCCCCCTGGAGAAACGTTTATTCCTGCCCCCCTTTACTGAACTGCTTTTTTGGGGGGTGGGGGGCCACCTCTGGTTCTCGACTCCGCGTTTTCAGCAGTGGAGTGACAGGCTCTCTGGGGGTCTCCCACCCTGGGGGCCCCACGCACCTTGCTCTGCTCACAGCAGGCTGTCCCCCGTGGGCGCTCTCTGGTGGGCGAGATCCCGCATGATGAGATGGGGGAGGGTGCGTTTCGAGAAGGCTTTGGGGTCTTCCCAAATCGAGGCGTAAATTAGACTGAAGCAGAAACCCCCATCTTTCCCAAGTTGCAGAGCTCTCCTGATGTCGATGGAGAGAGCCTGCCCGCCCGGGGGGTGGGGGGGGCGGCCCAGGCCCTGGGCATCAGCCATCACCCCCTCCACCCGAGACAAGGTATTGAGTCTGCTTTGGGACGGCCCCTCTCAGCCCCAAGTCTGTTCTGTGATGCCTGTGGTGCTCGCCCTCCGGACCTTGCTCTCGGGGTCACCACACTTTGCTAACTCTCGTGTGCACTTATTTCTAACAGAGTAGCGAGGACATGGTGCCGCCTCCAGCTTCCACAAGCTGCCCGGGCTCTGGGGGGCTCGGGGACCACCGGGGCTGGGAAGTGACTGTGCTCTTATTGTACACTCTTTATTTCTCTGTATCTCTGGCTTGTGCTCTTTGTAATTAATGGGATTTGTCTGCCTTTTCGACACTATACTGAGCAATAACAATAAATGCACACGTGGAAACGCAGGCACGGTGCACATCCCAGGGCCTTTTTCTGCAGGACAGCTGGGTCCCCGCCCGCTGTGGATTTGAGCCGGGGAAACTGCATCCCCGGGAGGGAAGGGGCTGTGCCCGAGGGTGCACAGCGTAAGCGGGCAGGCTCCCTCCCTCCGCCAACTCCACCAAGTCAGCCCTTCTGACCAGCCACCATTTGCAGGAGACAAGTCTCATCTGCCAGGTTCGCTCACCTCTCGTGAGCAGCGGCTGCTCATCCCAGAGAACAACTTTGGAGGAAGGGGCCTCAAGGCTGGGGGCCGGGGGGAGCTCGGAGATTCAGGGCAGGGGGTCTGGACGGTAGGGACACAGATAGGACACAGCTAAGCACGACCTGGCCGGGTGTGGGCTTAACCAGAGGAGGTGAGAGGACCTGCCGGCGAGGCTGGAGGCGGCCTGCTCTACCGGCGGGGGGACGGCACAGGGGAGTCTTTGGACTTCACAAAACTCTGCTGAGAAAAGCAGAGAAAAGGAATGGGCCAAGACCAAGAGACGGTCCCCCAGATGTGTCCAAAGGTTGAGGGTCACAGGCACGTGTGCACGTGAGTACACACTCACTCACACACACATGCTACTCCCACTCTTCTCACACAGATCTGATCCCGAGATCAAGCGCCACAGGTCCATCCAATTTCTAAACACCGCTTCACATCCACGGTCCACTTACAGCTCAACATCAATCTTCAGAGTCAGTATCATTTTATTTTTTTAAAGATTTATTTATGCATACAAAAGCTGGGGTGCAGCCAGAGGTGCGGGGGCGGGGGGGTGAGCAGATTCACCAGACTCAGAGTGGGGAGCAGAACAGGCAGAGCTACTGAAATACACTGCTGAGGGGAGTAGAGTAGGCGAGACAAGAGAGGTCTGATGTGCCACGTGGGCAGCTCCCTGGCGAGGGATCGAACTTGTGCTGCAGAGGCTGCCAATAGCTTCAGAGTGCTGAGACTTAACCCCTTGTGCCACCAGGGAGGCCCAGTCAGTATCATTTTAATTCCCACGTAACAGAAGAAGAGACAGCAGCCAGAGAAGGGAAGTGTGAGCCCAGCTTGTAAGCAGGAGACACAGTAACGACACCCGGCAGTCGCCATGCCAGCATCAGCCCTAAGACCTCTACATTGCAGTGCCCTTCAGCCCCACCAGCTAGCACCCGAAGGAGCATGAGGGCTGCCCTGCTTGTCCTCCACGGCCGTCTCTCCCATTTCAATGGGGAATTCCTTTAGCAACCACGCCCAGGGCATGTTTCTGCGTTATATCTAACACACCAATTCCACTCGAGGAAAGTGAGGCTCAGGGAGAAGCGATGTAACCGAATGACCCAGAGGATCCACAGTGCAGGGACAGATCCTAAGCCAGGACCTGCCCGTGGAGGAACAGCAGACCCCGCAGCCCACCCGTTGGGCTCCCGGCTCCCCCCTAAGCCACACCCCTGCAGCACCAGTCAAGAAAGCTGGGGTAGGGGATGGGAGGGGGGGCCGCTGCCTGAGGCCCAGCCCCGAGTTCTGCACGCCGCCCTCCGCGGCCCCATCTCCCAAGCGCCCTGGTTTGCTCTGTCCCCTCCTCTGAGCCGCAGCATCTCCCCTCAAGCAACCACGGGCTCCTCGGCGCTCGCCTCCGATGTCCAGACAGGAGGTGGCGGATGTGCCTACCCAGGAGCCGGCTGGGGCCTCCCCGCCCTCACCGGGCTCTGACCCAGGAGGGGCCTCGGCCGCCCCGTCGCGAGGGGCGAGCCGCGCGGGGGGCCCGCGGTCCTCCCCTGGGGGGCGGGGGCCCGAGGTGGGGCCCCGGGCTCTGCGCGGGCGCCGGGCGGGCGTCCTCGCCGGGGACCCACCCGACGCCAGGCTCGCAGGACCCGGAGCGCGGGGAGGGAGGGTCGGGGCCGCGGGGGCCGCGCCTCGGGGGGCCGGGACGGGGGCGCTGGGCCTGGACCCCCGGCCGGGCCGCGGTGGGGGCCGCGGCAGCGCAGAACGCCCGCCCGCCCCGCGGCGCCCCCGACAGCGCCGCCGCCAGGCCGGGCGCCCAGAGCCGCGGGGAGGCGGGTGAGGGCGCAGTTGTGAAATCGCGTTTTCTTTGCTTTTTATTGTTAATGTGCGGCCCTCGGGCGGGGGGAGGGGCGCCCCGAGAGGAAGCGGCGCGTCGGGGGCCCCGGCCCGGGGCGGGGGCGCTGGGCGACGAGAGCCCCGCGCCGTCTCGCGAGATCTGCCGGGAGCGGGGCGGGGCCCCGGGAGGACGAGCCCGGAACCTTCGCGCGCACGGAACGCGGAGCCGCCCGGAGGCTCCTGGGTCGCGGCCCGCAGGCCGGCCCGCCCGGCGCCGGAAGTGAGCCGTCAGGAGGCGCCGCCGCCCGCTGCCACGTCCGAGACCGGGAGCCGCCGCCGCCGCCATGGTGAGTGTCGGGCCCGGGCGCCGAGCGGGCTTCGGGGGCTCTGCGCGGCCCGCCCGGGTGCCTCGACGGCGCGCGGGCTCTCGCCTCGGCCGGCCGCCCGCTCGCCTCCCAGCCCCGAGGGCTGGGGCTCTGGCCCTCGCGCCCCGCGGTGGGGAGCCCCGGGCCGGGCCGCGTCCGCGCCGCGTCTCCCGGCGACAAACCGGAAACGCCCGGGAGCCGCTGTGCCCCGCGCCGGGCCCGGCCCTGCTCGTCTCCGCGGCCTCGGAGTCGGTGCGCCCGTCCCCGACGCCCCGCGGGCGCCTCTCCCCGCCGGCCGAGCGGGGCCCCCGACCGCGCCGTCTCCCCCGGGGTCCGGCGAGCAGCGGCCGCGGTCTCCCCGCGGCCGGGACAGGGATGTCAGGCCGAGCCGAAGGACCAGCTGGGGCCGGGCTCGGGCTCTGCACCCTGGGGCGTCCGTCGGGTGCTGTCGCGCCACGCTCGGCGAGTGAATGACGGATGACCCCCCGGGGCTGAGAGCCTTTCGCCGAGCCTGCGCGGAGTGGGGTTCAGGGGACGCATGCCAGCAGGAAAGTGGGCGGGCTGGGGGTTTTCGGGAAAGCCGGGGTGAACCCTGAAGTCCGGACACCGGGGTTAAACCCGGGCGGGTGTTAAAGCACCCCTCTCCGGGCCTCTGCAGCTGCCGAGTGGAGTTGGGGGTCTTTTATGTCCTGTCGTAGCTTTTTCTAGGTGAGGTTTTAACTGGTTGGCTGATTCTGAACGGCTGAATTGTTCTGAGGCCACCTCTTACTACTTAACAAAAATCAGACAACTGGAGGTGCTCAGGAGGGGCTTTTTATTTTTTAAAAAGGAGTTTTAGAGACACTTGTTTAGAAGGATGGTTCACCATCCCTGGCTGGTGGGTGAGAGTAGTTAAAAATAAATGCTGATTCTCTAAGGTCCTTTGGTGACCTGGTATGAAACTACCAGTAAACTTTGTGCCTGCCTGTCAGCCCTCAGCCACTGGTTTAGGGAATTTGTTGCTGCAGCCACGGTATGTTCTAGGTAGAGTGGACAGCTTTGTGAGCTGGGAGGCAGCAGGTGAGGCGCTTCTCCCAGCCCCATCTTACTAGCTCTATGACTTTGGCAAACGCTTCTCTTCTCTGGGCTTCTTCGGTGCCTGAGTCCGTCAGGTGGCTGACTAATTGTGCTCTTTGTCCTTCCAGCACACACGAAAGCCCTTTGTAACCCAGCTGGTTTGCACAGTAGGAGACTTTTAATCTTCCCTTGCCTTGGCAGGCCTTGGGGGCCCACTTTTTAGGGCATTTAGAATTTGATTTAGCAGATTCACTTAGAATCCGCTAACTGATGCACCCTTTGAGCTGCCTTGTCCACTTTTTTGAAAAGCCAGACTTTATACCTGCAGGACTTGTGCTGGAAAAAGGTGAAATGGGGATAATGAGAAGAAATCATGTCAAACTGAAACCTGCTTTTCAGTCCTTTTCCTAGCACAGTGTTGCAGGAGAACACTGTTGAGCAGGGTGTCCGATTCTGTTCATTTACTTTTTCAGCAAGTAGCCCCTAGTTCCTTCTGGTTGTCAAGCAGTGTGCTGGATGATTTGAAGGATCCAGAACTTCAGACCGCACAACCCCTGACCCAGGGGAGCTCACCTTCCAGGGGGGAGAAGTGTGAAATGTTGTAGATATTCAGGGGGATCCGGCCAGTTGGGGAATCTGGGGCTCCCCAAGAAAGAGGGGTAACATGAGCTGTGCAGGAATGCGATGAGCGGCCCACAGGCAGCTCAGCCCTGGACCCAGTCTAGGTGACAGTCGAGGGTGCTGTCTTAAGTGGTGGACCAGGGAGCTGCCTCTGGAGAAACTTGAATCAGTTCTCCAAGCCCTTAACCCTGTTATGCAAAAAACTGGAACATAAGCATCTCTGTCACCCTGGATGTGACCGGTCATAGTTCCCTGAGGGCCTGTCTTCACCCTCAAAGATAGTCAGGACTGCTTACCGCCCACCCTGTAGCTCATATTCCCGCTACACAGACTATACTGTTTCCCGGTGCTACCTGGCAAATCCCTCATCATTGAAGCCCCAGTTCACGTCACGCCACCGGCGCGAGGCTGCCCCGGCCTCGCTAGCGTGCTCACCTTGACATGTTAGGTTTGTTGATATGCAGGTTTCTCGAGGGCCGAAACTACCTTTTTCTCGCGTCTGTAGCTCTAGTTCTGGGCATAGTAATTGACAAAAAGGCCTCTAGAATGTTTAGTGAATGATTAAGCAAGCAATGAGAACTTTAGAAACGATTGGTGACTTTAATGAGATAATTGCATCCAAACTGCATCGGTTTATTTACCTGCCGTATCTCTGGTTCTAGGTGTCCGTGATTAACACGGTGGACACCTCCCACGAGGACATGATTGTAAGTATTACTTCAGCCTTCCTTTGAGTCTGTGGGAGGGAAGCATTTCGGGTGTTCCGTTACTCCTTTCTCTGGGTCATTCACAAAACCAGTGTGGCTTTGCAGCCTTTTCAAGTCAGGCTGTAACCTCAGGTCTGTGGTCAGTCTCCCGCAGTGCCCTCTGGGCTGGCAGGGCTTGGCAGTCTGGTCACTCTGGCAGGAGGAACCTGGGGATGGTTAGTAGCGCAGGGCCCTCGATCTTCTGGTCCACAGCGTGACCTGCTCTGGGGTGGAGACGGGGTGTGGAGGCCTGGTGATAGTCTTCACACCTGTCTTCCGCCTGCTGCCACTTAACCCCTGTGGAAAGGTGGTTAAAAGTGAGGGTAGGATGGCTCCCTACGAGGGCAGAGCCGGTCGGACCACCACAGACACAGACAGACTCAGGCGTTTTCTGAGAAGCAGGCACAGGGCTCAGTGTGAAAAGGACAGGACTGCGGGAGGAGGTCCAGAGGTTAAAGTCTCAGCAGCAGAGATGCGGGCTCTGCTTCCTGCCGGGCCTGCGGTCCAGCAGCCTCTGAACAATGTCAGCCAGCTCGCTGCGCTTCGCCCTAGGCTTCCTTCCCCATGACCTGCCACCAGCAGTTGCTTGAGGCTTCTGAGAGGTCACCTGGGCCTGAGCTGTACATGTTCTTGGCTGCGGTGTGGGTGGGCTAGAAGCCCTGAGACCCCGGACCTGGAGATGGTGCAGACCAGGGCTAAGAAGATCCAACCTGAGGCTCCCTGGACAGTTTCTGAGCAGCCTGTTTCCTCGGGGCTAAAATGGAGAGCATAACGAATGTGCTGCCTGTGTGCGTGCCTTGGTGTGAGGATCCGATGAAGTGATGTGGTTACCACTGACAGCCGCATGCTCACTAAGCGTCAGACCCCATCAAAGTGCTTTTCATTCAGTATCTCGTATACCCTGCACACCACCCTTGAAGCGCACGCCGTTCCTCAGCCCCACTGCAAGACGAAGCTAGGGTTTAAGGAAGTCAGGTCATTTTTCCAGGGCTACGCAGCAGCTGAACTAAGGAGACAGAATTTAAATCTAGGTCGTGCGCTCTGCTCCTTCCCAGAGTGTGTGCAGTGCTCAGCAGAAGCGCCTCAAAAGTAGGCTTGCAGAGAGCTCTGTCTCTGTCCTGCCCGACTTCCAAGAGCTGGAGCCTGAGATCATTGAGGCAGGTGACTTCAAAGAAGAATCAGGATGTTTTCCTGGAGGGAGATGAGAAAGGAATGTGAGGCAGAGGAATGAGTGATTCCCTTGACATTGCTTCCCACAACCCCGCAGCAGCGGCACCAGACAGTTCCTCACCCTCACCGTGGGGCCACCGCGGAGTGCCCCCGGGAAAGCCAGCCTGCAGCCAGGAAGGGCAGTGGCTCAGAGGAGCGGGCACCCAGGTGGACACGGCGCTGTGGGCGGGGGCCAGCCCTCGGGGGCCTTGAGCGAGCGGTTCATCTGGGTATGACCAGTAACATTGGGCTGGTGGGGTCTGGGGTGCTGGGTGCGCGCTCAGAAGAAAGGGCAGGCTTACAGCGGAATCAAGGTCCACAGAGAATCCCAGGCGGAAGGAGGAGCCCAGGAGTCTGAATGGAGCCCTGCATCCAAGCCGGTGCATCATGGAGGACCTGACTGGGGCCTGCAGGCACTCAGTCCTCTTCCTTTGGGTCAGCCTTAGCCCTGGGTTCTCAGGCAGAGCCGAGCCCCCTGCCATCCTCCCCAGCAGCCCGCCTCGGGGCGCCATGGTCCTGGGGAAGGAGGCTTGGCCACCTTTCCCCCCACACCAGCCTATAGACGCGGACCGGGAAGGACACCCCAGGGTGTGGGAAGGGCCTGAAGGCGGCTGGGAATGTTGGTCTTGGCCCTTTCAGAGGACACTGCCCGGCAGCGGTGAGGGTGCGCAGGCCAGCTCCCTGCCCGGTGACAAGGCTCACCTCAAGTAGATTCTGGGCCAGGCTGGACTCTGTCCTGGTGACTGCCCCAGCCCCGCCCAGCCCTCAGGCTCCCCGAGCTGTCCTCCCTTCGCAGCACGACGCCCAGATGGACTACTACGGCACCCGCCTGGCAACCTGCTCATCGGACAGGTCCGTCAAAATCTTTGACGTGCGCAACGGAGGGCAGATCCTCATCGCCGACCTCAGGGGGTGAGTGCAGCCACCGTGTGGGGCGTCCACGGTGGTTGGGCTTCCGGGCGTGGCAGGAAAGGCTGAGTGCCCGGTCAGGAATGCCCAGGCGCAGCTGGGGAGGTCACCTGGGTCCTGGCCATCGGGCCGCCTGCAGCGCAGTCGCCGCTTGGTGCTGTGACAGGAGCAGTTGGATCCAGGGGTGAATCCCAGCCCTGCCACCCATGTGCCCACTAGAAGGCTGTGAGCGAGAGTCCGCTCCCCTCAGAGCAGGCGGTGGGCCCTCTCCCAGGCAGAGCCTGCCCACAGCAAGCCTCCGTAGCTGCTGCTCCTTTTCGACATGGGAAACGAGTCAGCGCGATCAGAAGCGTCTCGGGCGTGGCCCTGTGGGAACATTCGCGGAAGAGAGAGCGCGTGAGGACGTGTCGGGCCCGTCATCGCCCCGCGAGTGTTTGCAAATGTTTGTTTCCCCTTCTCCCCACTAAGTGGAGACCCTGGTTCCTGTTGTCATGGCCGCCTCTCTGCTGCCTTCCCTCAGCCCACTGCCTTCCACACAGATGGGGGTGCTTAGCCTGGTGTCCACCCTCTGCAGGGATTCTGGGGTACAATTCAGGGCTTGGACTGCGGAGGGGCGGGGGCCCACATCTCTGTTCCCGGGGAGTCTGCCATCTCGCGTTCCTTCCGCCACGGGCGTCGGCCGGAAGCCGCGGTCCTGCTCGTGGTGCCTGTCACCTTGCTGCTGGCGGACGTCATGGCGCCGCGTCACAGCGCGGTTGCAGCAAGCTTGGGGCACTTGTGCTCACTGCTGCGTTGACATGAGTGGCTCCGGATCTGCCACTCACACTTGTGACTCGTGCCCACACAGAAGCACGCGTGTCGCTGCGTCACCACTCGTTCTTTGGCATTAACTGCATCTCCGTCTGCTCGGGCTTCCTTTATAACCCTGACCGCGCCCGTGTCCGTTCCGAGGGGCCCCGTCCGTGCCCACTGCCCGTGACCGGGGGAAAGACCACGCGAGTCGGCCTCAGTGTGAGGAGAAGGGCCTCAGGCGCCCTGTTGCGGGTGTCAGCAACCTCATGGCCCTGTGCCCACAGAGCAGCCCCGGCGGGGCGAGAGTGCAGGAGGCCCGGCCGCCACAGTGGCCACAGTGGCCGCGGCGACCGAGTCTGCTGCCCCTCGGACCCTCTGCCGCTCCTCTGTGCTCAGGGGATGTGAAGCGTTGGGGGGACTAAAAACTCACCGTCGATTCTTGGCTCAGTTAAAACGAGGCTAGTTGTGGGAAGTTGGAGTCCAGGTTTCGTTAGCAGCTCCTGTATAGGAAGTGGGGTGACTTCTGTCACCCCTGCCAGAGGGGCGAGGAGACGTCAAGTGTCTGCAGCTCTGGGGTAAAGGCGTGAGCGGGGAGCAGTCACATCTCGGGGGCACGGCGTGCTTTCTCTCTTCTGCGTTTCACGCACGTCGCGTCTCTCCCCTCATGTCCGCCACCTGTGAGCCCTAGAGGATGGGGTGCTCCTCGCCTGAAGTCGGGGCCAGGGCCCCAGAACACAGCCATCGGGCGTGTGCTCAGCCAGCGCTCGCCAGGCACGCACGTCACGACCAGGACAGAGCTGCGCCTCTGAGCGCGCCGAGAGAGGAGCGGCCACATCAGCGCGGAGCCGCGTGGCCTCCCACGGGGGCGGCCGTCTGCCGATGCGCAGTCACGCGCTCCCGGGGGCTTCTGGGCACGGCCTGGGTGGACGAGCAGGGACGCTGGGGGCGGCTGCCACGGGCGCGGACTCTGCCGGGGTGGGACAGGCCCATTTAGAGCCCTGACTCGCTTTCAGAGCCTCTGACCCTCCGGGGCGCTGGGTCCGCACTGCCCAGCAAAGGGCTCTTGAAATTCTTAGGCCGCTGCCCTCAGACAGTCCCCGTCCACCAAGGAAGACTTTCATTTCCAGCCAAACGGTGGCTGACAGGCTCTCCGGGTCCCCTTGCAGGCACGAGGGCCCTGTGTGGCAGGTGGCCTGGGCCCACCCCATGTACGGCAACATCCTGGCGTCCTGCTCCTACGACCGCAAGGTCGTCATCTGGAAGGAGGAAAGCGGCACCTGGGAGAAGACCCATGAGCACACGGGCCACGACTCCTCCGGTGCGTGGAGCGCCCCCCTCCTCCCTGGGGGTGCTGCCTGTTTGTCCCTGCGGTTTTGTTTGGCCCTTTGCTCGAGGCAGCCCACGGCTCATGAGGGAACAACACCGTGGATTTGCTTTTTTAAGGTTTATTCTTTTTAAACACCGGCCTTTGGTCCCAGATTATCGTCCTCCTGTTACGTGACCTGGGGCTGTGGGGTCTTGGCAGGGGATGGCTTTTACTCTCACTGACAGTAACAACCTTCCCCTGGTGAGCTCTGAGGTTTTATTTAGAAATCTGGTAAAACAGTAACTGTGGAGGAGCGAAGCCCGAACTTCTGGGTCCCTGCTCACCGAGCCCCTCCTTCCCGCAGTGAACTCTGTGTGCTGGGCCCCCCATGACTACGGTCTGATCCTGGCCTGCGGGAGCTCGGACGGGGCCATCTCCCTGCTGACCTACACCGGGGAGGGCCAGTGGGAAGCCAAGAAGATCAACAATGCTCACACGGTACGTGCCGGGCGCCGGGGCCGCGCGTCTCCCGGAGCGCAGGGCGCTGGGGCACCGGGAGGTGAGCCAGGGGGGCCGCCGGCGGCGGACGTTCTGGGCGAGCAGCTCCGACCTTCCTGCTCCGGAGCTCAACCAGCTGCGCCCGCATCACGCAGCCTCGCCTGGTCCCTCCTGGCAGACGCCGAGTCAGCGAGGGCCAGGGCGCCCACCGCCAGGCGTGCCTGGTTTTGGGGCTCACCCGCATGGGTGCTGTTTATGACTGAGGGAGAGTCCGTTGTGTGCACCCCCGCCCCCCGCTTTTTTAGCCCCCGTTTTACATGATTTATGACATCACATTCGTGAAACTTTTACTCTCAGCCTTTTTGAACTATAATAACAAAATAAACCGTCCTGGGGAAGCCAGTACCTAGACAGGTGGGTCTCCACTGGGGTCTCGGGACGCATCCCCCACGGAGGGGCGGGGGGATTGTCCCTCCTCAGTGCAGCTGCCGTGCGCGTCTACGGTGGGTGTTCTCGGGGATAAAATTGGGAGCGGGATTGCAGGCCTCCTGCGGCTCTGCTAGGCTGTCTTTCAGGTGAGCTGCATGTTCTGCCAGCAACAAGCAAGGGTTCATGCCCGTTGCCAGCACTTGTCCTTAGGCCTTCCCGGGAGAGGCTGGGATCCAGTGGGCAGGGCGGGGCTCCCCGGCAGGGGGCGGAGTGTGCGTGGTCAGCCAGCCTGCATTGATAGGGAGGTTGAGGAGCCTCTGCCCTCGGGCCTCCCTCGTGGCCTAGGGGTTAAGGCTCAGCGCTAGCAGCTAGCAACCTATGCCAGGCACTGCGGCCTGAGTTCGAGCCCGGCCAGGGGGACTAACCCACAGACTGTGCGGCGGGCCGCTCGTGTCTTGCCCGCTGCGCCTCCTAGTGGTGTTCTCTGGTCTCCCTTCCCCCTCTTCCCCTACCCCCATCCCTTCTCTCCTCCCCTTCCCTTCTCTCCTCCCCTCCCCCTTCCCTTCTCTCCTCCCCTCCCCCTTCTCTCCTCCCCTCCCCCTTCCCACTCACATCCTCGTCGCGGAAGCCTAATGAGTATGGTAAGGGGGCAGACATCCCGCCTATCCCCTTCCAGATTGGCTGCAACGCGGTCAGCTGGGCCCCGGCCGTCGTGCCCGGAAGCCTCATAGACCAGCCGTCGGGCCAGAAGCCCAACTACATCAAGAAGTTCGCATCGGGCGGCTGCGACAACCTCATCAAGCTGTGGAAGTAAGTAGGTCAGGGTTAGAGGGGCTGCTCGCTGCCATCGGCGATGCCAGGAGCCACCTAAGCCCGTCTGTGGTGCAGACTTGTTGGTCCGAACAGCTTTTCTTTATATATTCCCTGCACGGGAATGACTTCCGCGCGCTCTTGTGCCCCGTCAGGGAGGAGGAGGACGGCCAGTGGCGCGAGGAGCAGAAGCTGGAAGCGCACAGCGACTGGGTTCGCGACGTGGCCTGGGCGCCCTCCATCGGCCTGCCCACCAGCACCATCGCCAGCTGCTCGCAGGTCAGCTCCGGCCCCGGAGAGCAGCCCATTTAATCTCAGGTTCACCCCCGCACCTGCGGGCGTGGTGCTTGGCGCCAGGTCTTCATGAGGTCAGGTCTCGGCCACAAGCGGGTTTCCTCTGCCGAAGCAGGAGTGGGGCCGAGCTCAGGACCCCGGGTTCACCTGCCTGCCCGCCCTCGCCAGGACAGCGCGCTAAAGCACACGGGCCGGCCTTTCAGTCCTCCCACCCCGAGAAGAGGTCGCCCCTAAGCTGTTCTGGTTGGCTGTGAATTCCAGAGGGGCCTTGCTTTTTAAACTCCCGTTCCTCTGCGCTCGGGCTGTAGACAGGCCTACTCACCTGGTCGGGAAATGAGGTTGAGCCACAGTAAGCTGACCCCAGCAGGTGGCTTGGCAGGCAGGAGCCCCAAAGAACACCCGAGCAGGGACAGTGCTAGCAGAGTCCACAGAGACCTGCCGGCCCGGGACGGCGCCACCTCGCGCCCTGCACCCCCTCTCCTGACCCTTGCCTGTCTTCCCAGGACGGGCGCGTGTTCATCTGGACCTGCGACGACGCCTCGGGCAGTACGTGGTCCCCAAAACTGCTGCACAAGTTCAATGATGTGGTGTGGCACGTCAGCTGGTCCATCACCGCCAACATCCTGGCCGTCTCGGGCGGAGACAACAAGGTACACCCCCTCCCGCAACGGGGGCGGGCCCACTGTTTTGCCCACTGGAAAGCACGGTTGACTTTTCACCCGGGGTCAGGGAACTTAATGAGGACGGTGTTGGGAGCCTGTGAAACGTCATTGACTCTCAACATGTCCCCTGTAACGGGACACACGCGACAGTGGTGACCGGCCCGCTGGGCCAGTACTGAGGCCCGAGTTAGACCCGGAACCATGGCCTCAGCCCGTCGCCCTGACCACGGCGCTGCACGGCGCCGCTCAGCCGCACTACCCGCAGCGCGCGCAGGCCGGAGTGCCGGGGCAGGGGGCACATGTTTAAAACTCGCAGGGTGAGTCCTGAGCACTCACTGCCGCGTGCTGTGTGAGTGTGTGAGGGAGGGGTGTGGCACGAAAGTGGCCGCTGGGAGTCTTAGTAAAACTCCTGAGAGACCCACACAGGCCGGGTTGATGGAGCGCTCAGAGCCATCGTGGTCCCCACATTTGTGACCTGCCCTCCACGTGAGGCGCCTCTGCCTTGGAAGACGCTGGCAGACTACAAGTAACACGTCACCCGAACCGTGTCCGGGTGCACAGCCGGCGGTGCTAAGTGCGACCTCGTCGTCATGCAGGCGCCTTCCGTGTCAGTCGTCCCAGCGAGATCTAGCAAACCCTCTCTGAGTCGCAGGGCTTTGGAGCTGTAGTTGACGCGCCAGAGATGCTAGCGTGCCCCTCTATTCCCGTGGCGCGCCAGGGTCAAGAGCAGAGCTGGCTTTGAGGGTACCCAGTACAGCTGAGGGACCCCAGCTTGCCTCGGCAGCCCCGCATGATGTCTGCAGTAAGCAGGTGCGGGGTTGTACCCCCCGCGTCGTGCCGTCTGCTGTCACTGGCCTGTACGGGACACCCTCCCGCCTGCATCTTCTACCGCGGGCGCTGTCTCCACCCCCCCACCCCACCCCCAGAGACGTACTGTGGCCGCAGCCCGTCCCGCACGCCACAGCACACGCACATGTCTATAACGCGCAACGCCGACTTTCACTCCGGCGCTCAGCCATGTGGAAATCCCACCCTTACTCGTCTGCTGTCTTTCTCCACCACAGTTCTCAACTTTGAGCATGGTTGAGCTTAACAGATTGCCTGCCTCACCCCCAGAGCTCTGAATCAGGGGGTCTGGGCTGGGCCCCAAGAACTTGCCATTTTATGCAGCTCCCAGGGAATGCAACGCTCTGGTCTAGGGACCCCACTTGCGAAGCACGGCTCTGCCAGCCTGGCTAGGGCAGCATTCCTGCCACACATTCTCAGAGTCCTGCCCGCTCTCTGCTGCCGGTCACACTCGTCTCCACCTGTGTGGGCGTTCACTTACATTTCGGTGGGACGTCAGTCAGTGGGGGGACCAAGGTAAGTGCTCTGTGTCCCACGAGACCGTGAGCTGTGGTTCTTCAGGACACCAAGGGCCCGGCGACACGCGGGAGGGCGCAGGCCCGTGACGGGCTGTGTGTGCCTGGCTTGCAGGTGACCCTGTGGAAGGAGTCGGTGGACGGTCAGTGGGTGTGCATCAGCGACGTCAACAAGGGCCAGGGCTCCGTGTCCTCGTCCGTCACAGAGAGCCAGCAGAACGAGCAGTGACGAGCCAGGCGGCCTGGCGCCCACCTGGGCCAGCTGACCGAACCACTGGGGGAAGAGCTGCCAACACCCACAAGGCCCCCTCCAGGAGCAGTGACGCATGCGCCACGGACAGATCATCCGCCCTAACGTGATTGGATGTGGTTTGTAATTTATTGTCCAGCGGAAAGCACTCGTGTTAGGAGGGGGAAAGTAGAAATGATCTTCAAATCTATTATTTTAAGATATTTTTGGCCATTTTTATGTACCTTTTGGGTTTAGGCATTATTTGGGAGGTTTTGTTTTCCAAGTAATAAACTCACGTTGCTTATAATTCTGCTGCATTGTCCTCCCCCGTCCCTAGAAAGCCGTGTCCTGCTGGCCAGCATGCTGGAACAGGAACACTCGCCAAGACCCGGGCCCTGCGTGGCCTGGCTCACCCCAGCCCACAGGTGCTGTCGCTGTGAGAGCACCTCCTGGCTCGGCTCACGTTGCAGGGACTGCAGCACCCACCCTGGGCTCAGCCTTCGGGGGTGGAGGCCGCGGCCAGGCTTCAGGCTGTGTCCTCTCTGGACACGGCCGCCTCTTACAGAGAGGAGCTGCTGAATCTGCCCTGTGAATGCCCGCAGCACGCTCATGCCTGTGAGCGGCCCCCACCAAGCACCACGCAGGCCCAGGCCCAGGCCTGTGCTTAAACAGTTGAGAAGCCGGCGGGAAACACAGGTGTGGTTCAGTTTATTGCCCCTGCCAATGAAAAGAGGGGCCTGTGGTCCAGACTGGGGTTCTGGTCCTAATCCAGATGACCCTGAGCCAGATGCACTTCTCAGCAGAGGCCCTGGCCCCTCGCCTGAACCAGCAGTCACACAGTCAGCAGCCACCATTACTGAGACCTGCTGGGCTCTTCCCCACAGGAAGCAACACAGCAAGCCTGGACAGGTACATGCCCCCAACTTGATGTGAGGACACTGGCACAAAACAAAAAGACCTGCCCAGAGAGTCCAATGTCAAGTGGCAGAGCCAGTGTTGGAGCCCTCTAACCCCGAAGTCAGTGCCCCCACTCTGGAGCCAAGGAGGGTGTGACCCAGGCAGAACCCGCACTGGACCTTTACACCAGGCGCTTGGATAAATCCACTTCAGACCACCTGCCTCAGAAGACCTAAGTGGAAGCCGCTGCTCTTATACCTACTCCTGTCTTTAAACAGCAAAACCTCTTTTTAAAAAAATACATTTTAGATCGTAATACATAAAATGGGAGAAGGTGGAACTGCTCGAGTTGAGTTGAGAAAATAGACAGGGCCCAGATCACTGAGCCACCCAAGACACGCCACGGAACCCACGCTGTCTGGGAATATGGAGACGGCCCGTCCTTCCTATCCCGGAAGGCACCTTGTCCCACTTGTCAGCGGCTACACAGCATGCTGCCACCTGGTCAGCTCTGCGCACATCCTGCCTTCCCTTCCAAGCTCGCTCCCCCAGGCAGGCCTGGCCTTCCCCACCACCAACAAACCAGTCGAGCAGGAAAGACCTCATGTCATGGGCTGGCCAGTGGGCTCCTGGCCTTGTGCTCTATTTGCAGTTTACACCACCAAGTTAAGATAAAATGGGCACAAATAAAGTCACCACAATCTACTGTTTATGTTTAGATTGGTAACCTGCTAGCCCTTCCTGGGAAAGAAAATCCATATTCATTACGACAAAATAGGCAGTTACTCAAGTGGAAACACCACGCGGCAGTCCAGGGCAGCTGTCCTTCCCGAATGCGGGGAGTAGGAGAGTAATTTCAAAGGTAAGATTCTGACTAGGGCAAGATGAGAGCAGCAGTCAGTGTTCTCTTAAACCCTCTCACACAAAAGCCACAATAGCAGAAGGAACCCGGAATATGAAGGGTGGGCCATTCTCCCATGGGGGGGGGGCGTGGGGGGCGAACGGGGCACTTTTATGGACCTATGAGCCAGGTGAGCCAAGAAGTGCCACTAAATACTCGCATTCTGAAGAGAAAACTCAGCAAGCCACGAGAACAGCTGTCAGCACTAGGAGGTAATTCACAGGCTTTCTTTTAAAAAGGAGCTAAAAAAGAGTTGTGTCCGCCCAAGAGGGAGTAACAGCTCTAAGAACTTCCCTCACACCAGAAACAACCAGAAAACCAAACCAAAGACATGAAATAGCTTTGGAAAACTGACTGGTCTTGACACGCCCTCAGCTACTGGGAGCTACTAGAGACAAAGTGGGCCGCTCGGACACCGAGGCCCAGAGGCAGGAGGATGTAAGGAGTGTCACTGGGGCCAGGCCGTCTACACAAGCCCAGGCACTCGAGACTTGGGAGCGGTGGTTGCAACTGACACACAGGAGCCGAAACAGAAAGTCAAGCAAAGTGAATGTTCCACAAGAAAGAACAAGGTAAAACCACAGAGAGGGAAACTGACATGGAGATGAAGGTTACGTCATGACCCGATTCTGAAGCTGGTCACCGAACCACACAACAGATGACACAGTGAGGGTGTCCACAGGACAGAAAAATAGAAGTGTCTCACGGAAGCCAAACATCTGAAAAACAATAACTGAACTGAAAAATGTATTAAGCAGCAGACCAGACGACACAGAAAACAGGCGAAGTGAGCTCGAAGATGAGATGGAGAAATCCAATCTAAGCTGCAAAAGGTTGGGGCGGGGGGGAATTGCCAAAACTTAGGGCCTTGTGAGGAAATGGTCTTGCCTGATGTTATGCCACGAGTGTCCAGAAGAGGAAAGGGGCGGAACACTTACCTGAAGAGTGGCTAGCAGGGCCCCTAGCCTGGGGAAGGAAATAGACACGCAGATCCAGGAAGCCCGGAGAGTTCCAAATAAGAGACACCCAGAAAGACCCACAGCAAGGCACCATAATTAATCCGCCAAAAATCAAGACAAGGAGAGAACCTTCAAAGCAGCAAAGTGTAACCCAGAAGGACATGGCATGATAGATTTAAAATGCTGAATTTAAAACATCCAATCAAGAATACCCCACGCAGCAAAGTTATCCAAGACTGGAGAGGGACAGAGTTTCAAACAAGCAAAAGCTAAAGGAGTCCATCATCACGACTGCAGCCCACAGGGTAAAGGGACTTCTTAAAGCTGAAAAGAAAGGATGCCGATTCACGACAGGAAAACCATGTCAAAGTACAAATCTTACGTAAAGAGAAGTATATAGCCAAGGGAGTGGGTTATCACTCATAAAGCTAGCATGAAGGTGAGAAAAGACAATTAACTAACTACAGTAATTAGTTAAGGGACACACCAGATAAGGAAAGGTGACATCAAAACCAAAATGTGGGGGCCTCTCTGGTGGTGCAGGGGTTAAAGACAGCGCTATCAAGCTGTGGGCAGCCTCTGCAGCTCGAGTTCCATCCCCGGCCAGGGAGGCACCCTCCAGCCTCGCCTGCTGCTCCCCTCAGCAGTGGATTTCAGTACATCTGCCTGTTCTGTTCCCCACTCCACTCTGTCTCTGGTGAATCCTCTCACTCCCCACACCTCTGGCCTGCACTCCAGCTCTTGTATGCATAAATAAATTAAATCTTTTAAAAATGTGGGAGGTGAGTAAAAATGTAGAACTTTAGAATATGTTCAAACTTGGGCCTCCCTGGTGGCGCATGGGGATAAGACGCCACACTATGAAGCTATCGGCAGCCTCTGCAGCATGAGTTCAATCCCCGGCCCCGGAGCTACCCACATGGCACAGCAGACCTCTTGACTAGCCCTCAGCAGTGTATTTTCAGTCAATCCGCCTGTTCCCCACTCTGGTGAATCCTTTCACATACAAACCCCTCCCCCCCCACACACACACATCACTGGCCTGCACCGTAGCTCTTGTATGCATAAATAAATCTTTTTTTAAAAAAAAAGATTATGTTCAAACTTAAGCTATTATCAACTTACAACAAACTGTTACACGTGCAAGTTGTTCTATGTGAGCCGCGTGGTGACCATATAGCAAAAGCCTGTGATGAATACCAGAAAGGTATCGAGAAAGGAATCTTCCTTTCTTCCCCAGACAGCCTGGACTCTGAGGTATGTGGTCAGGGAGGTTTCCAGCTCCAGTTCTCCAAAGAGAACACAGCACAGTGGTGTTTGCTAGCGGGCGGTGTTATCTAAGATCAACACTGGCAGCTCTGCCTCCACAGGCCTCGGGGTCAGGGTCGAGCAGAGGCTTCGTGTCTCAGCAGCTGCCTGGTCGCCGTGGTTGGGTTTTGGGGCAGTTTGATTTGGTTTCGTGGTCGCTCAGCAAACGCTGCAAGCCTCTGAGGAATCCACACACACCCAGGTTTTACCTTTGGCCCTTCTAGCCCCGAGGCCAAGACACCTAAGCTGAATCCCAGAAGGCCTCCCGGAGATGGGCTGACCCTGTCTTGGGTCGAGGTCAGATTCCAGCCCCTGCCACAGCCAGTGACGATTTCAGCAAGAGCTACTCAGTCCCCCACATCCTTGCCAGGGGCTCAAGCCTGCCCTGCCTGTGCCTCCACGACAGTCTCTGCCAGAGCCATGTGTGACCCCTCCGGTGTTCGGTATTTTTCCAGTGAAATAAGAGGGTCAGCTGCCCAGGTCCTTAGGTCTTTGCAACTCCGTCCCGACCCTATGCCCGGTCACTCTGTTCAAGAACCTTGCACGGCCTCCCTCCCTCCTAGAGTTCACACTCCTAGGGAACGCAGTTGTCTAGACGATGTACATGACTGCCTTCTAGTTCTTTCCTTGTGATGACCCCAACTGCCCACCATTGCCGCCCTCCTCCAAGCACCCAGCCTTTCCACTCTTGCTCCAAACGGTCTGTGCCCACGCCCTGCTCACCCGCACGGCGCACACCACTGCCTGCAGCAGCGTCCTCCCTCCAACACCCTGCTCCATGTTCACCAGCTGCCTTTCCTGGAGCCCGCCCAGGCTCCAGCCCCCAGCCCCAGCCTACAGTGAGCCCCTCCCCTGCAGAGCTGGAACTTCTATAGAGACAACGAATTCAGCCCTTGGGTGTCACTACCTGGCATCCGAGGAGGTGACGTGGCCCAGGCAGGAGAGGAAACCCATCGTGTTAATGAGCGCTTCATTCAAGAACACCTGACATGCTCGCAAGTCCGGCGGGCCTGGTACAAAACTAGTCTCCTACCTTACGCCACTCACCCAAGCCCACTTGAGATGGATTAAAGACTTAAATGTGAAAGCAGAAACCATGAAACTCAGATGGAACCAGAAATAAAGTCTTACGTGACTTTCTGGGTAAGACACCTCGAGCACAAACAAAATCTAAAGTGAACAAGTAGGTCCAGATCAAACCGAAGAGCTTCCAGCCGGCCACGGAGACCATCGGCACGCGGAAAAGACAACACACAGAAAGGAAAAAGGCGTTTGCCAGCCGCACATCTGAGGAGCGGTGAGTAGCCTCAGTGTCTGAAGAACTCAGAACTCCCCGGCGAACACCCGGATGACCCAATTTATGCACGGGTAAGGGCCTGAAGAGACCGCTGACCCGCGCCGCGAGGAAGGCCGTCAGGTCCACGGAGAGACGTCCGGGTCCCTGGCCCCTGGGGCATGCGAGTAGGGCCCTGTCAGAAAGACGAGGGGCGCAGGTCACTGAGGATTGGAGGAAAGGAGCGGGGGGGGCTGCGGGGGGGGACTTTGGAAACAGGACGGAGCATCCTCGAAACATGAAAAACAACCATCACGTGGTCCAGCAATTCCACATCTGGGAATGTGTCCAAAGGAGACAAAACACCAACCAGAAAGGCTGTCTGCACCCCGAGCTCCTAGCAGCATCACTCACCAGCCACGTCGTGGAGGCAACCCACGTGCCCGCAACACACGGGTGGCTGGAGAGGTGGCGCGACACCCCGCGGAGTTCGCTCAGCCAATAACACAGAAGGCGGGCCTCCCTGGGGCGCAAGGGGTCAAGACGCAACCCATGAAGCTGTGCGCAGCCTCTGCAGCACGGGTTCCATCCCTGGCCAGGGGGCTACCCACAGGGCACTGCAGACCTCTCCTGGCTCCCCGCTGCTCCCCTCAGCAGTGGATTTCAATAGATCTGCCCGTTCTGCTCCCCAAAAATAAAAAATAAGTAAAAAGGAAATTCCCCCACTGGTGACAAGAATGGACCTTTAGGACATTATTCAAAGAGAAATGAGTCCGACTGTCACTCACGCTCATTTACACGTGGAATCTCAGCCCCCCGCGGGCAGAGCGCGCGCTCACGGATCCCTGAGTCACAGGGTGTGGAGGAAGGCGGTCAAAGGACAAACTTCCAATTATACAGTAAGTAGGTCTCAGAGATGTGCGGGAATAGCAAAGGTGGGAGGGAGGGGTGGGGGGGAGAGAGGGAGAGAGAGAGAGAGAGAGAGAGAGAGAAGAAAGTGGTGAAACAATAAATCCCACGCGTTCCCATCACTAGGAGGAACTTTCCTTCCTTTTTCTTGTTGGCGTCTCTGCCTGGGAAGGTGGGTTTAGCTGAGCCTCCGTGGCCTCCTCCAGCAGGTGTGCAAATCCACCACGTGCCGTGTGTCCTGAGCATACACGGTGACTATGAAAATCGTCAGTGAAAGCGGAAACCCCGAGCCGTCAAGGGCAGCTCCGTCACGGGCCAGGAGGGTCTTCACCTGCCGCCATTCATTCCTCACGGCCCGCGGCGGCGACGGGCAGTTACTGCGCCAGCCCCACGGCCTCCAGGTCCCGCCTGTGCCTCATACCTGGCTGCGCCAGCCCGTGCGGAGCCGCCCCCAGGCAGGGGACCCGGCCCGGCCACCAGAGGCCCCTCCAGGACAGCGAGGGGAGCCGGCGGGGGGCTGAGCTCTGCCCTCCCAGCAGCCCCCTCGGGCCACCCCCCTCGCTCCCACCCAAACCAGGGAGGCCCGCGCGTGAGACGTGCCCCGGCCAACCCAGGAATCCCCCGGGGCCTCTGGCCTCCATGGCTGGTTTCTGCCCAGAGGAGGGGCGGCTCCTAGCTGCCAAGGAATGTAAACAGCCCCCCCCCACGCCCCGCTGCGAGATGGGGCCGCTGGTGGAAAGCAAACACAGCGCCTCCTACATAAGGGCCTGCCAGCCTCTGGGGCGCACCACCAGGACCCCAGGTAGGCACCCTCTCCTTGCCGCGGGCGTGGGGGTGTTACAGGTGCCCCTGACCGGGACCGCCAGCCCTTCTGACTACTGGGGCAACCCGGTGGGGAGCTGCCCCCCGACCCCTTTGTCCCCCACGGACCTTGCTGGTTCAGCTTCATCAACCCCTTTTAAGAAACTGGGCACAAGCTCCTTGGGGGTCCTACCCTGGGAGCCCCTCTGGCATGGGGTGGGGCAAGTGCTGCTAGCGCAGCACCCCGCAGGTCCCGGGTCGAGGTCGCCGTGGCCGCGGGGCCCCGAGGAGAGTGGGCTCGGGGGCGGGGGCTTGCTGCCCGGGCCCTCCCTCCACCAGACCCACCTGTCCCCCCAGCTGCGGCCATGCTCTCCCCGGCCACCCTCTGCTGCCTGCTGCTCCTCAGCGTGCTCTGTGCGGACCTGGCCTGGGGGGGCTCCAGCTTCCTGAGCCCAGAACACCAGAAGGTGCAGGTGAGACGCTTCCCCGTTCTGCGGGGATCACGTCCCCCCCCCACCCCCCATAGCCACCGCTGTGCACCTGCAGGCCTCGCGCTCCAGCCTCGGCCTAGCGCACAAAGGAGAGTGGACGGCCGGCCCAGGCCCCATCCCCTCTGGAAGGACGTGGGGGCTTAGGGCCCCAAGAAAATGCCCCCTCTTTCCAGCAGAGAAAGGAGTCCAAGAAGCCCCCGGCCAAACTGCAGCCCCGAGCCCTGGAAGGCTGGCTAAGGCCGGAAGACGGAAGCCAGGCGGAGGGGGCAGAGGACGAGCTGGAAATCCGGGTCGGTGCCCGAGGTTTCGGGAGTGCGGCGGCGGCGGAGGGAGGGCGGCGCCGAGACCTGCACGTCTCACATCTCGCAGCTCCGGGGCACTTGCGCCCCGGCCGGCCACTGTCTGTCCACCAGGGCTGAGAGCAGCCACTCTGCCACAACAGAAGGGGGGGCAGGAGCCAGGAGCAGCGGCGCTGGCAGAACCCACTGATCTCAAAGGGGAGCCGGCAGCCAGGGTGGCGAGAGATGAAGCCCCGAGGAGCAGGGAGCTGCCCAGAGACTCAGGGTGCTTCTCCACAGCAAGTCTGGCTGACTCCAGGGCCCTCTGGCCTCCCCTGGGGGCGCCGGGGCAGTAGCCTGGGCAGCAGCCAGTCACCCCAGGGGCACCAGCCGCTGGCCAGGCCGGGAGTCATGCCTGGGGCAAGGAGGACAGCTGGAGCCCAACGCAGGCCGAGGGAGGAGGAAGGGGTGGGCGCGGGGCCTCCATGCGGCCTCCCCGAGTGTCCAGGAAGGCCTGTGAGCAGCACGCGGGGAGCCCCCGATGCTGCCAGTCCCATCCCCCGGTCAGGACCGGACACGGCTGGCCTGGGAACGGGGTTGCACCAGAGACGGGCCAGAGAACCCCGGTTCAGAGAGGCGCAGTTCCGTGCGCCAGGCGGGGGGTGGAGCTGGGACTGAGCGCGGATGGGGCGTCCAGGGAGACCCCCCTCTGCTGGCCGGCGAGCAGCGGAAGGGCGCCCGTCTCCCAGCACCCTGACCCGCCCCAGACCCGGAGCCCCACCCACGGTACCCCTCACCTCCCCCAGCCAAGCCTTGACCTGCAACCCAGGCTTCCCGGTGAAGCGGCAGGTGCGGCCGCCCGGGGCCACCTCCCAGTCAGCACAGATGGGGAGGAGGTTCCGGGGGACCCGGGCAACTCCTAACTTCGCAGCTTCCTGACGCTGCCTTGGAGAAACGGCCCACTGCCCAGCGCCCCCAACTCGTCCGTCAGTCCCCACCCACCCCACCCAGTGGGCACGGAGGCAGGGACTGCCCACAAGGCAACACGCCTGCTCACCTGGAACCCTGGACTGAGCCGTCCCACCCGGTGTGGGTAGCGGCACAGGCGCACCCGGGGGAGAGGGGCCCATCCAGGGCCCAGGGTGGGTCCACGCCGAGGCGGCCGCAGCGCCAGGCCCCGAGTCCTGCTGTCGGTCCCTGGCCGCCGGCTCCACTGTGCCCCGCTCTGGGCCTCTGCTGCCTGCCTGAAGGGGTCCGGGGCGGGCAGCCCGTCCCCTTGCCCGAAGCTCTGCAAGCCGTGCAGCACCTCCCGGGCCACTGGGACAGCAGGAAGACGGGGCGCTCTCCCCGCAGAAAGGCAGGCGCGGAGCACAGAAAGGGCACAGCACCCTGTCAGATTTCCCCGCAGGACAGAGCCTGGGCACGTCGAGAGGAGTGGGAAGGAGAAAGTGAGGAGGGTGGTGACCGTCACCCAGCTGAGGGCTGGGGACACCTGCTAGACCCACGCCCCGATTTCCCAGTCAGGCCTGAAATCCTACCACTCAGAACTAGCCCCCTGTTAGCCAAAATTGCAAGGCGGGGGTGACGCGATCTGGGGGACCCCAAAGTTGTATTAACAATTTAGAGAGAAGGTGTAACACTGAGGTGGGGGCGGCAAGAAGGGGCACCAGGGGTAGAGGCTGGACGCCCCCACCCCCGGGTGACAGCCCGAGAGCCCTGGGCCGCCGGTGGGAGGGAGGCGCGCCTGCGGCGCGGGCGGGGGCGGCCTGACGCCCCCTGGGTCCCTCCTAGCTCACCGCCCCCTTGGACGCTGGCATCAAGCTGTCGGGCGCGCAGTCCCACCAGCACGGCCGGGCCCTGCGCAAGTGTCTTCAGGACGTCCTCTGGGAAGAGGCCAAGGGTGAGTCCTCGCCGGGCCGGGTCAATCCGGTTCCCAGGGAGCCCCAAACGTGAGCCCACCCCGTGGGCGAGGTTTCTGTCCCCCGCCCCGCCTCTCCGAGAGAGAGCTGCCGCGCCGTCCTCTTCCCCGCGCAAGCACCGGCGCGGCCGGGCTGGACCCGAGGGAGGCGGGCAGCACACGCGGTCCGGGAACTAGCGGAGCGACTAGCTTCAGGGTCCCAGTGAACCCCAATCCCTGAGCCATCAACGGCGCCCACACCCCGAGAGCACGGCCTTCGGGGGCGCGGCAGCTTTGCTGGGCGGCGGCGTCACAGCAGCCACCGTGCCCGTCCCGCCACAGACGCGCAGCCAGTCCCCGGGCGTCCTCGGTCCCTTCCACGCCGCCCCCCCAGCTGCTTCCGGAGCAGGGAGGCAGGCGCCTGCCCTTGGACATGTGCTGCGCCCCCGGTGCCCCCCCCCACCCCCCCCACAGGGCATCACCTTCGCCCACCGGGACAGCAGACACAAGGCTCCGCTCCAGGGACTCGCTCACGCCGCGGCCCGCGGCCGAGGCCACGGCTCCCCCACCCGCCCCAACACCCGGGCGTCAGCTCCGTGCCAGGACGGCCGGCTCAGCCGGCCCTGGCCGGGGGTGGACTCAGCGTTGTGACTCGGCCTCTTGCTTTCAGACTCCCCGACCGAGTGATGGCCCGCGACCCCCGCCTCTGCCCCCCCGGCTGGCGCTCGGGGGCTTCCCGACGGTCGTGCCGCCGCCCCCCGCGCGGCCGGGCTCGTGTACAGGGCGAATAAACGCTCAACCTGTGTGCTACCGTGCAAATTGGGAATTTATCCACACGCTGCCGAAAACACCCCGGCCCGTGGTCAGCGGGGAGCGAAAAGGACCCGTGTCCAAGCAGGAGCACGTGCTGGGGAGGCCGACCCCGGCTCTCGCGGGCGGGCCGGGCGGGCGGGCGGGGAGGCGACAGCGCCTGTGAACGCCAGCGCGGCCTCAGCACCCCCGAGCCGCACGGACGGCCTGCTGACGGGACGGCCTGCTGGCCGCGGGACCCCCAGCACACCGCGGGCGGGTCAGGATCAAACAGGATGCCGGGAGGCTGCCAGGACTAAAGTCACACCCCAGGGGGTGCTGACTGAGGCTGCTGCTAGAGCAGAGGGCCCGCCTCTCCCTCCTCGCCCACCCCGGCAAGGCCTGGCAAAGCCTGGCGCGGACTAGGCTGCCCGCTGCTTTGGTCACTCCGCCGCGAGCAGGCAGGTGTCGCACAATCTCAGCTCCAGCTCGCGGCGGAGCTGAGCCTCGGTCCTCACATGCCCTGAGCAGCTCCCGAGGACGCCAGCGTCCCTGGCGCACGGCCACTTGGTCACTCATACCCGGTAAACGTGAGCTCTCTTCTGAGAGCCGGCGGCGGGACCGTCACTAAGGGCAGGCGACGGCAAAGACGCGCGTGGCCAACCTGCCCCTTTCAGACAGAAGCCCCCGGAGACACGCGGGACGCCTCTGAGGCGGCGTGCTGTCTCCAGCGCGAGGGCTCCAGGTGCAGGTGTCTCCGTCATGAACTCCTGGCCCCTGGCACACGAGGCGCAGCCCCTCGGCACTCACCAGAGCAGACGCAACGGGCACGTGGCAACCCCCTCATGAGGAGCTGCCCCGTGGTCGGTGGAAACACCAAGAAGGCAGACTCTCAGGCCTCCCGGGCCTTGGGTGTCAGGGTCTGCATGTCACCAAGCTCCCGGGCTGCCCTGTGGCTGCAGCCTGATCCCCCGCCTGGCTCAGAACTCTCACGTGACTCCTGCAAACTCCCCAACCTGGCCAGGTGTCACCCCAACTAAACCGAGACCCTTGGGGAGGGCGCTGTTTCCTGCATCACTTTCCATGCCCCCCTTAGGCCCAAGTTTGTCCTTGAGCACACATGACACTCCACTCCTGCCTCTTGGGGGACACGACCAGCCGCCAGGGAGTCCTGGCTTCCTAGACCTTGGGCACAACCGGGATGCAAAGGCAACACCCCCGGGAGCTGAACGCAGCGACGAGCAGGGGAACCAGAAGGGAGGGAAAAGCAGAGGCCTGGAGCTGAGCCACATCCCGGCTCTGCCAATCACGAGGGGGACAATCCCATCGTCACTCAGCAGGCCCACAGTGCCCCCCTCCACAGCCAGACAGGTGGCTCCGTGTCCACGTGGGGTCATGCAGCCAGGGAAGCGCTGGCCGCTGACTGAGCTCGGGGAGGATGGGGGCCATGGCTCCGGGCACCAGAGGGAGCTCAGGTCGCCTGCTGGCCCCTCCCAGGCAACCAGGCCTTAGCCCCCGTCAAAGGACTCACATGTATCCCCTCCCACGGATCCAGGACGGCCCAGACGTGGCGCAGCTTACAGCCTTGGGCTCTGACCTGGCTATCGCTTCACCGAAGGGATGGACGTGCTGCAAACACAGTCAGCAGTCGGGTCGCAAAGGTGAAGGCAGCAGCCCAGGCCTCAAACCTGGGGCGCTGGCAGAGCAGAGTCTGCCTCCTCCTGCGCGGCTCCCTTTGGACTGTGCTCACGAAAACCTCAGCTCAAAGTTAGAGGACGGAGGCAAGCGGTGGAACAGAATCTCCCCCAAAGTTCACCCGGAGCTCACAGTACGGCTGACTCCCGACACCCCCAAACCCTGAGGGTTTGCATCCCCCTACTGCATTAGCTGGGGAGAAAGAGCCGCAACCACGGACTTTTTCAAAGGCTAAGCAGCAGCAGCACACTGAGTGCCCAGGCAGAAAAATGCGAGGCCACACTGAAAGCCCGCTGACCACTTCAGGTCCCAGGCACCCGAAAGGCCACGGTAACCCTGCAGGCGGCGCACCCAGACCTCTGGCCAGCCACCGGCCACGGGACTGGCCGGGAGGACTCTAAACAGGGAGTGCACAGGCGTCAACTGAGGGGCCATCGCTTTATTTTCAGAAAGAGAGGGTCAAGGGGCGGGGTACAGAGACATTCCAGGGCACAGAACAGTCAAGCCGGTCATCCAGAACCACGGCGCGTCGCTCCGCCCGCACGCTGGCGCCTCGCTGGGGACACGCACGCAGGAGCCCGCGCAGCGCTCAGAGCACATAAGCACCTGGTGCTGGCCTCGGCGGGCGGCACGGGTGAGATGCAGGCAGGTGCCCCCCTCCACGCAGGGCCGGAGCGCGGGGGCAGGGCTCGGCAGGCGATAGACGTGCTGCCGTCCGCTGGGTGACAGTCAAGCGCTCTGACGTCCCTAGCAGCCCCAAACCTTCCAAGGGGAAAGAACAAGGCCCCGGGCTCCCCACACTGGCAAATTTGAGGCACAGGCCACAAACCGAAGTGGGTACCAGAGGCAAGATGGAATCACCAGGCGTCAAGTGCCGAGTCCACGGCCCTTCCGCTCCCAAGGCCCAAATGCACCTTCCAAACACACACGAGGAATCCAGCGGAAGTGATGGATGTTACAACTGAAGCAACTGGCTTTCAAGAAACAGACAAGCGAGCAGGGCGGCCTGTCCGGCTGTGGAGGTCGGGAAGAGCAGCGTCCTCACACTGAACCTCTGCCCTCATCCAGGGGCTGTAGGGAAGACACCTTCACGCGGCCCAGAGCCAGCAGCGCACAACTGAGAGGACGGGCAGCTCCGAGGCCCGGGAGAGGCTTGTACTTCCAACGTGGAGGAGGGACAGCAGAGATGAAGGCCAAGGAGCCCACGAGCCTCAGACACCGGCCTACCGCTCTGCACAGGCAACGGTGCCCGAGCGGCCCCCAGAGCTGCAGAGAATCAAGTCGGCCGCCTCTCCACCTGCACAGACACGCAGGGCCTGCTGAGCGGGACAAGATAGGAGTATTTCTGCTCCAGCGTTCAGAAGGGGGTAAAAATGCAGCCAAGAGCAGCTGGGCCCCCCAGAGAACAAGCGGCTTCTGCTGTACAAGGACCTTTGTCTGCTTATCACCAGGAGCTGTGGCCCTGGGGGCACCAGGAAGTGGGAATAATTTCTTCGGGGCCTCGTCCTTGAGCACCCCAGTCTGTCCTGAATCTCCACGCGCAGGACTCCTAGAACAGGTAGGGGCGCTCCTGCCCCTCACCGACGGCACCAGAGCAGGGAGGCCAAGCGCAGAGTCCTCCGCTGCCGGACACGGCCCCAGTGAAGAGTCGTCCAGGGAAAGAAGAGGGTGACTTCACAGGGTGCAGGAAGATCAACCGCTGAGACAAGACTCCAGCAAACGTGCCCACAGGACATTCCCGCATAGGTCTTTTTTAGGACTGTGAACCAGGAACCAAGCCACACAGCCGGTGTGCGCAGAGGAGGGTGACTGTTCAAAGGCTGCTCGGAACACGGCTGCAGCGAGCAAGGATCTGGAATGGCCACGCGTGCGCCCGCCAACGGCTGCTGCCTCCTTCGCTCCTGCCTGAGAGGCCCACCCCTCAGTCCCCTCCCCTGCACCCTGCCCACCAGCCAGAAGCAGAGGCCTTAAAGACGCGGTTTCCTAGCTCCGACGGGCTCTCCAGACACATCCTGGGCCCGGACACAGGCAGAGTCCAAGCCCAGCCCGTGCTTGACAGGCCCCGGGGCGTCCTGGAGGATTAAGAAGAGAAAAGGAAGAAGGTTCCAGACCAAGTTCACTTGAGACACATCAGACTTAATGCTCGCCCTATGCTGACACTCTCTACATTCAGAAAAGGCAGCAAAGATAGTTTTGCCCTAATTTAAAAAAAAAATGTAAAATCTGAACTTGTATGACCTTTCTGGAGACTCCTGGCTGCGCCCTCTCTGCTTAAAGATTGTAGAGGCGACTGGTGTTCTCGCGCAGAGCGGCCAAGGTCCGGGAGAGCGGCAGGTCCTTGACCCTGGCAATCTCGCGAACCGTGTGCAGGGCCAGGCCCGGGTGGGCGTACTGGCAAAGGCTTCTGGGAACCTGGAAGACACCAAGCATCAGGACGTCACTGGGCCTCCTGCGCACAGCCGTCACACAGCGCTCCCTCCCCAGCCCTGCCCCAGCAAGGACCTCTTTGGGGCTGCCCTGTAGAGACCCCTTTACCTGCAGGTGCAGGGAGAGTCCTAGTCATGGGGGCTCTGGGTGAGCAGGGTCCCACGCTTCCTTGGACTACCCTCTACAGGGTAGGGCTTTGCACTGCCTGGAAGAGAGTGGTTACCCTTCAGCTTCTCAGCCCCCTAGACTTTTGCTTCTGCAGAGCAACAATGAGGAGACACCTACACGGCCGAGGCTGGGGCCTGGCAGTCACTGGGGCTCGGGCCCTGCCATCCTCGTCAGGGTGACCCGCCCTCCGCCCGCCCGCTCCAGGCCTGCGCGCCACCTGCAGACACGCCTACCTGTCGAGGCAGGAAGTAGGGCGCATCTGTCTCCACGATGATCCTCTCCAGCGGGATCCGTCTCAGGGCTTCCCGGGCCTCCCAGGCGGAAGAGTAGGTCAGGACCGCCGTGAAGCCCACCGACATGTTGGGGAAGTGCTCCAGCAGGGGCTCGATGACCGGGTAGCTGCCAGTGAAGCAGTGCCTGGGCGAGAGGAGTGCTCATCAGGGCCTCGCCCCACCCCTGCTCGCAGCCCGGCCCCTGCAGCCGCGCGCCCGGCCCGCCAGTGCCCCGGCTAGGCGCCCAGGAATGAAGAGACCGCGGCAGAGGGAAAGTCTCCACAGCAAACAAGAGCAGCCTCCTCTGGAGACCCTGGCGACTCAGAGCCACGCAGCAGCCCCCAGCAGGCACCGGCCGGCACACCCCTGCCGGAGGGCACACCTGCAAGGCCCGGGCCACAGCACAGGGACAGAGAGGAAGAAGGAAAAGCCGCAGCCCTGCTAAGGCACAGCCACTGTGGGGCATTTCCTCCCAGGAGTCAAACTGGACAGAAACCAAAAGTGAGTGGGGCTGCGGGGGAATTTCCTTCCCTTTCCTTGTTCCCTGTCCGTGTCCTGAGTGCCCCACGCACCCCTCTGAGAAGGGAGGGCTCCGGCAGCACCCAGCGCATGCGGCCTCCTCCACCTGCCGCCTGTGAGATTCCCTTCAATGTTAGCTCCGCAGCAAAGAGCCAAGCAGCCCAGAAGAGGTGACGGGACGAGCTTCATCCCCTGTGTGCGCAACCCCAGCCAAGGGCAGAGGGCACCACGAGGGCGCGGGCTAGAGGCCTGGCTGGCAGCTCCACCCACTTCTACCCACCAAGTCCCGGCTCCAGTCCTGGGCCCGCTCAGTTAAGGAGCCAGCCCAGGCTTCACCCCGAGTGCTTTGCAGGCAGCTGAGGAGCCCTCCTCTGGCCCCACCACACCTGACATCCACCTCAGCGCCACACTCTCACCAGGGAGTCACCAGCTGACTCCTGTCTCCCGCAGCCCTCCAGGCCGCCCCTGAGCCAAGCAATGCCCAGACAGGCACAGCCCAGGAGAGTAGAGAATGCTCCCCACACGCAGCTGAGGAGCCCAGATACCCGCCGAGAAAACACACCCTGCGCCGGGACGCCAGCCAGGGTGAAATGAGCTTTCAAATTCAAAAAAGCAAAGAAAATCTCCTTTGAGGTGCCCTGGGGTGTTCACTGGGCCCCAGGTAGCCTCTCCCAGAATCAACAGCCGGACACTTAGGACCGGGGTCCCGAGAGGCCCCTTCTGTGCCTTCTTTATTCAGACCATGAACTCAAACCGCACGCAGCTGCCATTTCATAAGTAAAAAATGGCCACACGGCAGAAACTGCAGGCGGTTTCCACCGAATTCGCAGGCGAGAAACACAAGACGCAGCGCCGCGCGCACGGTGCCGGGCAGAGGGGTGCTCGCACACCGCCCGAGCGCCAGCCTCCTAACCTATGGATCTTGTAGTCCGAGGGCACGAGTCTCTTCATGATGCCCAGCAGGTCTTCGTCGGCTTCCCGGCAGTGGATCACCAAGGGCTTCTTCAGGGACACGGCCAGCTGCAGCTGCCTCTCAAACACCTGGGGACGACAAGTCACATCACACAAAGTCACATCCCCGGCTGGCAAGGTCTGTTCCCTCGGGGACACCAGCCCAATGGGCACCCCCACCGTCCCCAGTGAGACTATAATATCTGTAATACCGGCTACCCCCGCAGAGTGCGTACTGTCAGGGCCAGGAACACCTCAGGCACACCGCGACCACCTTCCTCATAAGCACCCCGGGCAGGCACCTCAGCCCATCAGGCAATCAAACGAAGCGCAGCACCGGTGAGGGCAGCTGGCAGGCTGCAGCGCCAGACAAACCCAGGCCACATCACCACCACTATGCAATGCTTACTAGGGTTTGGGGGGGTAGAGGGGAGCCTCGGGAGCAAAGTGCAAATTCCCCTCACTGTCCCCACCTCTACTCCCATGCCCTGAGCAATCAATCACCTTCCGCCCCATTTCCTAGCGAGCTGCTGACATGCACTGTGGGTGGGGAGGCAAGAGACTGACGACTGATGGATGACAGGAGGACGGAAGAGGATCATTCCTTGGGGACATGCATGGTGGGTCTCCCCCACCTCCCTATTCATTACCATGTGCCCAGCCCAATGCCCGGCTCTCAGGTGCTCAAATATTAGTTCAAAGAATAAACACTACACAAACTTTCTGTGACTTGCTTTCCTGCTTCAGACCCAACCAGACTCTAAGTCAACACCTGCAGACAATACATTCTCTCAGCTCCAGCCACCTGTGAGCTGTCACTGCTGCAAGACACCGACAACAACCTGAGTAACTCTTCCAGGTTAAAACAAAGAACAAAATATTCATTCCTCGTGAACAACCTACTCCATCTTAAGTGTACTGTCTCCACGGGTCCACGTGCCATTTTTCCAGTTGTGGAACGTCACTCGGGTGCGTTCTTACCTCAAAAAAGGGGTGCTCTCGGTCCTTTGATTCAGGTGATGCTCGAGAACAACCTTTCCAGCCTAACACTTTCTCGAAACAGCACTGACCCAACACCAACGCCGATGTAACTCCTGAAAACTTTTCAGCGGAAGGAAGATGACCACAGGCGCCAACAGCACAGGCGCTGGGCCGGCCTCAAAGACAGGCTGATTCAGGAAACTGCAGTCAGCTGGGGGCGCTCCTGACCCCCACCAAGTGTTCAGCTGCCCTCCCTGGACCTGACAGAAACCAGAAGATGCGAGAAATTCCAATCCAACTCTTGATCCCGCGTCCAGAGCATCCCGTGCGCTACTGAAGCAAGGACAGCCGTGGGCAGAATACTACACCGCTGCTCTCAGTGTGTTTTTCAAAGTGTAGAAATGAGACAGGAACATTTTCACCAGTGAAAAAACCACCTTCAAAATAGGCTTTTGAGGAAGAAATTTCCTATTTTCTTTTTTAAAAATTAAGTACACACAACACGCATTTCCTTGATTCTGCGACAGGTGCTCGTAACCCAAGCCATCAACCACCCACCGCCATGCGCCAAGGGACAACAGCATTAAATTGCTAACTCCTTGTGAAACACACTCGAATTTCTTAAACGTTAAGACAGAAGAAGAAACCATCAGAAGGTGGGAAGTTGTGGCTGGGGAAAGCTCTGCAGAGCATCTGTCCTCACCAGGAACCCGGCTGAAAACCAGAAGTGAACGAAGTGCCATGAATTAGTTATCCAGCTAATCACTCTCTCCTGTCTGCGGAAGCCGAGCCCCCCGCTGGTCTCTCATTTCCAGGGATTCCACCGTAAATCGGCCTCTCCTGGGGGCGCGGCAGCTCTCCCGTACTCATTACCTCAGTGACTGATTCCAGTGGAGGGAGCAGAGCGGGGGGTCAGCCCGCCCACGTGGAAGGACGCCCCTCCTTCCCAGCTTCCAGCCCCGACACCAAGGACCCCACACACCGCCCAGGCACTGCCCACAAGCTACAGGGCACGTTCAGGCTGAGTCCATGGGCACAGCCAAGCCAGGAGAATGCCGGCACTGGCTTGCTCCAGGAAGCCGGCCATCTACCCACTCCCCCCAATTCTTTTACTTTTCTCTATTTCCCAGCCCTTCCGGAAGGACCAGGTTACAGAAAGCAGCTCTCACAGTGAGGTGGGCCGGCACCCCACCTCCTGGCCACATGTGGTTCTTCCATACACTATCCTTCCCCTGGCAAGCGAGAACTTTCAGCAGGACAGGTGAGGCGCTTGCCAGCCCCTCAGCCTCCAGGCAGATGCGACTCGGCACAGACCCCCAGGAGGCAGTAGCTACTTTCCACCTCTCCTTTCGGTGCCCAAGTTCAGACTGGCATCAAGAACAGGACAATCACTAGTCCAGTGTTCTACAGAACTATTTTCACGTCTTCCTCACCTCCACAAGCAGGGCTGCCCTCCCCCGACCAGCAATTTACTGCCTCTTGTTTAAAACAAATGTCCCCAAACACATCACGGGCGCTGAGCCCATCGCCAGTCTTCCTTACAGAGACTTCTCCCAGCCGGTCCGGAATCACCACCAGCACCAGGGGGGACATCTGCCCGGCGCCCTGCCAGTCCCTAGAGGAAAGCGACACAACCACCCACCTTTCTGTCCCGTCTGGTCCCGCCCCTCTGCCCACACAGGGTGCAGGCGGCAGCCCCAAATCCCCAGCTGCCAGGCGGCAGGCCCAACCCAGGCGGCAGGCCCCTCACATTCACTCTGCCCAGCTCTGTCCGGCAGCGCCCTGAATCACCATCTTCTGGTCTTCACGCCACCTCCCAAGTCAAGGTTGCATCCACTGTGCTGTCACTCCCGGCTTCTCTGCCCGCAGGCCGAGCCCCACGCCCTCCACGCGCGCCGGCCACACCCCAGGAGGAAGGGAAGAGTCGCCGGAAAGGACCCGGCACGTTTTCTGGCAAGAGCAGGCACTCGATAAGCAGCTCTGCACACGAGCACACGGAACCCTCCTCCCGCCAGCACCTTTGAACGGTTCCCCCTCCCAAAGCACATCTGCCCTGAGCCGCAGAAACCAGCTGGGAAAGCAGAACATTAAACATCTGTCTCGCTCCCTCCGACGCCTCCGTTCCCGTGTCCCTGGACTAAGCTATCTCACCCCACACTCCGGTTAGAGATTCAACGTCCCTAACCCCGGTGGTGAACAGGAACTCCAGCCAGACGGGCGCGGGCGCCTACCTGCGGAGCAGCACTACTCCCGGCAGACCCGCGTCACGTCACAAAGTGGAAACAGTCACAAATAAGCTCGCACCCTCCTGCCTCAACAGGGCGCCTCGCACACCACCCCGCAGAGCCCTCAGATCCGGACGCCTGCCGCGGCCCCAGCGCGCTCGAGCTGGGCCCTGTCTCCTCGAGGGGTACGGCGTGCTGGAGACCTCCTGTGAATTTTCCCCCTTTGGTCAAAGGGAAATTTAAAAAACTGACTCTGGAAGAGCCCTGCTTCCTCTTAACCCATAAACACAGACGCCAGGACCATTGGGGATAAGGCTCCCCGCCGCCCGGCGAGGGTAGCAGCGGGTCCAGCGCCGCCAGCCCAGAGGACAGCCCTCAGCACACGCCCCGCCCCTCCCGCATCACGCACTCCCGCCGGGCCCACCGCATCGCCACATCACCCTGGGCGGGCAAACACCAGGACAGCGACATTCACGACCCCGGTGCATGGGAAATGAGCCTTGCATTTTGAATTAAAGAAAAAAAAGAATACGTTTTATATTTTCCCAATATCCTGCAGGAGGCATATTTCACTTTAAACATCAGGAAGGAAAACAAACGCTTTCACAAGGTACCTGTCACCCCATTTAGAGACTGAAGCTGACAGATAAGAGCCCAAAGCACTTGACAGATGACACCGACAGCCCCGACAGAGCTCACAGCTCGGGAGACTGTGAATTCCCCACTTCCAGACCGAGAAAGCGCGCATCAGGGCCCCCACCCAAGTCCAGCCTCAAGCGGCACAGAGACCCGTTACCTTGTGCTGCTCCGGGACCGGCGTGGTGCACTTGTACGAGTAATCCAAGCCCATCTCCCCAAATGCCACCGCCTTGGGGTGCCTTAAGGCTTGCAAAAGATTTCTCTCTTGAGTCTCGCTGTAGTAGCGTGCAAAATGAGGGTGACAGCCAAAGGCCCCCCAAACCAGATCCTCCTTCAACAGCTCCTCCCACAGACAATCTGTCAGTGTCCGGGGGTCACAGAAGTCAGAGATACAGCCCTGAAACTCCTTGGGGAAGGAGCTGCTATAAACCTTCCTGAACTTGGTGAAGGTCCCCTTGAAAGACAGCTTGGAGTAGAGCATATCCAGGTGACAGTGGGTGTCGATGAAGCCCTCTTCGAGACCCGGCCCCCGATGGCCCCTCGGCAGGGAGCTAGAGGCATATCCTGCACACAGCTGCGGGGTGGGGTCCTCCTGGAACGTTCTTTTCTCCTTGACCTCTTCTTCTGACTTTCTGGAGAAACGAAATGTACGAGAGTTCTGGGACCGGCCTTCCTCTGCCGCCTCCAGGTCCCTGGCGGTGTTCTGGGAAATCACGGTGGAGCTGGGGGAGTAGTCGCTCCGGAGCCCCCGCGTGCCCCTGCCAGCCTGCGGTGTGTCCTTGCTGCCACCGCCCAAGGCGGGGTAGCCAGAGGGCTTGGGGCCGCTGGTCCAATAGCTGGGGTAGTCGCACCAAGGGCTGCTGTACAAATGGGCCGGGTACATGACATAGTCAGTGGGGAAGGCGGAAGGCTCTGGAACTGTGGAGAGTTTCAGCGAGACGGGCTCCTCCTGAGAGAACCGCACTGTGGAGACCTCGTCCACGTCGGACCAGTCGCTTCCGGAGGAGGAGTGCTCTATCACCACCTCCCTGCCTTTAGTCTGCGGAGAAGCAACAACAGAGGGTTAGCCTCCCGGGGGAGACGGCCACCGCGAAGGCTCTGCACCATCATTACCACGCTTTATCACCCGGTTTCCTTGGCATTTCCAGAAAGTGAGGCCGGGACCGCTACACCAGGTCCAGGGAATAACCCTGTCACCAGGAGCCCTGACAGCCCTGCAGGGGATGCTCCCCCCACACTCCCCTTCCTTCAGAGGCTCAGGAAGAAACCTCTCGAGCACACTGTGCACAGGGGTTTCAGACCAGCAGCAGCTAACACCTCACCTCTGCCAACTGGTCCCCAAGAAACTCAAAATGCAGACAGCGCATCCACAAACGCTTGGCTCCGGCTTGCCATGGAGAGGCGGGTCTGTGGCCCTCCGCCTGCATGGGGCCAACTAGGGCTCACTGTAACCAAGGGACGTGCAGGGGACACCTGGCTTTCACCTTGCTCCCCAGAAGCCGGACACTCCGAGGCCAGGTTCAGCGGAGGGGCAGGTCCCAGGTATGGGAATGAGCACAAAGGACGAGCAGCCTTGTCAGACTGCAGCCCCCCAGTGCCTAAATGGGTTCCCATGAAGAACCCTCCAAGCAAGAGCTGGCTGCATGGAATAAAGTGTTAGTGAGGCCACAAGGTGACCAAGCAACAGTAACTTAGTGCTAGAACTTAAGTTCCAGAAGATCAGGGACTTTTATCTTCTTCGCTGTAGTCCCGGAACACCCACACCAGGACCTGGCAACAACGTGCTCTCGAATGCTCATGGGATGAACGTGTGCCATGAAGGTACAAGGGGCTCCTGAACCCAGCCTCATGTCAGAAGCAACTAGGGGATTTTTAGAAAATACAGTATAACTTAAGGTCTGCGCCACTGAGACACTGCAATTCAAGGGGTCCCTAGCAAGGCCAAGAAATCTGAACTTAATTCTCCATGTCATTTTGATGCAGATCAGGTTTGAGAAATACATAAACACAGATTTCAACTTAAGGAAAAAAAACCCACCCTGTGCATAAGTGCCAGGCTTCCCCATGCTACCACAGCCCCGTCCACCAGCACCAGGGGCTGGAGACCTTCTAAAACTCTTTTCTTAAGGTTTTTATTAGCAAATATAAATTATATGTTTTTAAAAACCCACTATGAAAGCATCAAGGGTAAATGGATTACCACCTTAAAACCGAACAAAACATTTTTTGTTTCTGTTGTCCAGACTAATTTTTCACATTTCTAAGGAAACAAATCCAAAAGGAAACAAGTATTGGTAACAAAAATTAAATGAATTATAAATGCCCTGTTTTGTACTTTCAGGCGTTAGGTTTCTTCCTGCCGCTCCTCTCCTAACAGAAATACTGAAGCCAGAGCCACTTCTGAAATGCAGGATAAGGTCGGTCACAGCACACCTGAAATGTGACCTGATGCGAGGTGGGTGGTGGGTTCTAGGGGTCCTTCCACTGCTTACCTGGAATATGTCTGAAAATTCTATACAAATTTTTTTTAATATCTATTTTTTTAAGATTTATTGATTTATTCATACAAGAACCGGGGTACAGGCCAGATGCGCAGGAGGGTGAGAGGGTTCACCAGAGACAAAGCGGGGAACAGAACAGGCAGACTGACAAAATACACTGCTGAGGGGAGCAGTGGGCACGATAGGAGAGGTCTGCCGCGCCATGTGGGACCCTCGCCGGCAGGCCGGGATTGAACCAGCGCTGCAGAGGCTGCGGACAGCTTCACAGTGCTGCACTCAACCACCTGCGCCACCAGGGGAGGCCCTCTATACAAAGTGTTTTAAGTTATTTTCTAAACTACCCTTCAAAAATGGGGGCCTCCCTGGTGGGGCAAGGGGTTAAGATGCAACCTATGAAGCTAATCGCAGCCACTGCAGCACGAGTTTGATTCCCGGCCAGGGAGCTACCCACATGGTGCAACAGACTCTCCTGCCTCTCCTGCTCCCCTCAACAGTGCATTTCAGTCAATCTGCCTGTTCTGTTCCCCACTCTTTCTGGTGAATCCTCTCACCCCCCAAAACTCTGGCCTGTACCCCAGTTCTTGTCTGCATAAATAAAGAAATCTTCAAAATCGATCCTGCTTATGACAGAACTTTCTATCAACCCAGACACTAAAAAACCGCAGCCTTGCCTCAGCCTGCGAGTTTGTTTTCCCACTGAACTTCCCAAGAGACGAGCAGGAACCAGGCACCCGAACATTGAAGTGGTCCTCAAGCACCAGCACCTCTGCAGTGCAGCCCTTCAATATGTGTTTTACCAACTTCTACAAGAGCAAGTTATTAATGAGACTAAAATCACCAAGAAAGAGCCCAAAGGAAAGAACACATAAGGGAGGCTCTGCCCCCACAGTGACCCCTCGGGAGGTACCATCTTCCATTCACATCCGCAGAGTCTGTGCGGTCGCATCCTCTCATCTGTTGGAAGAAGACAGACAACTCTCGACGGCCCTCAACCAAGCCAGCTCTGAACGGGTTCCCTGCATTCATTTTTTTTTTTTTTAATTGTTTTTTTTTTTTTTTAAGATTTATTTATTTATTTATTTTATTTATGCAAGCACTGGGTACACACTGGGTACAGTCAGAAGCGCGGGAGGGTGAGAGAATTCACCAGAGCCAGAGCAGGGAGCAGAGCAGGCAGAAGGACTGAAGTACACTGCTGAGGGGAGCAGCGGGCGGCAGGAGAGGTCTGCGCGCCATGTGGGACCCTCCTCCGGTGGCCGGGGAGCAGCCGGGGATCGAACCGGCGCTGCAGAGGCTGCGGGCAGCTTCGCAACCCAGCGCTCAACCGCTGCGCCACCGGGGAGGCCCCTTGCATTCATTTTTATAAAACCTGAGGGGGGCGGTCAAAGAAATGCAACAAATTTAACCATTATTCCCGAGGTGATGAGTTTTAAGTGTTGGACCTTATTTTAAACAAGCCTTTTAAGATCACTGTTGACTGTTTTTAAAGACCACTTTGAAAAAGCAAAGTATTCATCCATAAAGTCCACTGGACAATGCTCAAGAAACTTGCAGCAACAGCCCTGGGTACAAGAACGGGCTACACAGGACCAGGCTGACTGCACTAAATATCGCTATTTTTGATTTTTTGAACTACAGGAATGTAGTTACCAAAACAAAGCAAACAAACAACAGAAAAAACACCCAACAACAATTGGAGGTGCTTACATTATGGCAATCCTGAAAATGTACCTTCAGAAAGAACGGCAGGAACAACAAATGCCTGAATGTGGTGAGAACAGCTATTTGAAAATGGGATAAAATTTCCAGGGACTGGGCCTCCCCAGTGGCGCAGCGGTTGAGCACTGGGCTGCGAAGCCGCCTGCAGCCTCTACAGCGCTGGTTCAATCCCCGGCCGCCAGAGAGGGTCCCACATGGCGCGCAGACCTCTCCTGCCATGCCTGCTGCTCCCCTCAACACTGTACTTCGTCAGTCTGCCTGTTCTGTTCCCCGCTCTGGTGAGTTCTCTCACCCTCCCGTGCTTCTGACTATACCCAGTGCTTGTATAAATAAATCTTTAAAAAAAAAAAAATTTCCAGGGACAGCATCATATAGATTCAAAGTGCGCTACATCCACCAGCAAAAATCTCAGCTATGGAAAACTCAAGACAAATGGCCATGTCTTTTACAAATAAATGACAACACTGAGCCTGAGGGAAGCAGGGAGAGGAGGAGGAGGTATCTACAGAGACTAAGCGACCTTACATATTTAGAAGCTGCCACAGATGGCTCCTATTTGGATCCTATTTCAAACAAAATAAAACAATCATGAAGCCAACAGGGAAATTTAACCACTGATTGGATAGTCTATGACAGTAAGAACTGCATGTGTGTACGTGTGAAAATAGATATATTTGTTTCTAAAGACCTCACATCTTTTAGAGACAGATGCCAAAAAAAAATTTTTTTTTTTAATTTCTCAATGAAACTTAATACTGTGGTTGTATTAACAGGCGTAATTTTGTAGAATATGACATCAGGCTTCACTGTATCATAGTAATCACAGCAATCAGTTTTTTATTGTTCCACTGAAAACATATATTTATGATCCAGTTAATGAAAGGGAAACAAAAATTTTAACATAGAAGATAACAGCTTTCTACCTCTTTTTATATCTATTAATAGTTACTACATCCTGGGCAAAGTTAACAGGTAAAATAAATTAGAAATAGACTAAAGTGACAGATGCTAAAATATTAATGAATGGGTATATGGGTACATTTTTGTAGGTGTCTCCAATTTCTTTATAAAAAGCTAAAATAAAAACAATAAAAGCTGAAATTCCAGCTAGATGAAGAAGAGACCAGATGTCCGGCTACTTCCCCGATTCAGAGCATCAACACAGAAGGCCCCGGGTCCCTGATATCCTCCCTAGGCCAAAATTCTGTTTTCCCTGTGCCAGTCATTCTGACCTGTTATAGCAGGCAAAGCCACACCTGAAAGCACAAATCCTAAGAAAACAAGACTGCACTGAGGCTGCTGGGTAACCCTGAAGGGATGTTCGCAGAGAAACACCGATCTGTTTCCCGAGTCCTGGCTAAGGACAGCGCTGCTGCCAGTGACACTCCAGGCGAACCGGAAAGACCTGAGCCGAGAACAGAAATCCCCAGGGGTGGGGTGAGGCTGACTCACCTTCTGGCTTTCTACTGGAGGGTTGGGGCCATCCACGAACTCCAGGGGCGGAGGGCACTTGTCAACGACCGTCCTCCGGTCATCACGCGGCTCCTCGCTGGGCGGCCCCTGCGGGCGGATCACCACTCTCCTGTCCCCAAAGCCCCTCTTCTCCGCCGCGGGCTGCTCCTCCGCGCTGACCTCACGAACGGGCCCCTTCCTCCCCTTCTCCGCTTCCTTCTCCTTCTCGGCTTCCTTCTCCTCCTGCTCCCTCTCCCGCTCCTGCTCCCTGTCCTTCTGAGGAGCAGAGCCACTCCTGGCTGGCCCTTCCGCATGGGCAGGACGCACTCCCGTGCTGGGTTTGGCCCGAGAGGCGGCCTCTCCCTTCCTTTTTGGCATGGACTTGCCCAGGATGCCCTGGATGGCCTTCAGGTAGATCATCGTCGAGCCCTGGTCTCGAAGTCTATCCCTCTTCCTCTTCTGGACCTTGCTTGAATCTTCAGTGGTATCATCCTGACCCTCAGCTTCAGCCGCAAATTCAGAGTTCGTAGAGTGACGAGAACTGTCTTTGGAATCAACCTGGGAAAAAAACAGAACTTTTGAAAAAATTCAAGGGCGAAATGCCAAGGGCACTTTCACGGAATGAGCAATCGGTGATCCTGCCCATGGAAGGGAAAGTGACAGTGGCTAAGACAACGGTCCCTTCTGGGTGGTCACTCCCTCCCGGCCCAAGAAGCGCCACCTGCCCGGACTACACTGCTGCCGCTCCCTAGTCCTTCCTCGCCTCCCCATGGCCGCGGGGAGCTCCGGCGAGAGCTGAACAGGCTAAGACACCAGACTCCCTCCCCTTGGGGCCAGACCACTGCACATCCAAGACACTCTCGGACAAAGAGAGGCTCAAGATTTTCACGCTGGAAGGGTCCCCGGAAGCAGCTACCCCTAAGGGCTCAGTGAGGACGCCACCTGTGTCCTGAGGCCTGGGGCGTGACTGCAGTGGCCGTCGCTACTGTACCCCAAGCCTCCCCGAAGTTTTCTACAAACTCCTTCCCCCAAATCAACCTTGGTGTTGAAGGTGCCTCATCTCCAGAGACCACACCAGGGTCCATCAAGACACCCAACTACCCTCTGGCCCTGAATCTCCCCCAAGATACAGGTCGAGTCCCAGTCCCTCTCCTCTCCCCTCCACGCCCACTCATCCCCGAAGCCCAGAGTGAAGAAGCTGGAGTGTTCATCTGCTGCGAAACCAGAGCCAGTCTAATGCCAACAGGGCGTAAGAATGCCCATGAATCTTGCCTCAGAACCTCCGAACCGCCCCAGCTGTGACCTGGCTTCACCACTAGCCCAAGGCACTCTACAGCTGCAGGCCTACTACGTGACCATTAATTCCTCACACAAGTAAATATACTTAGAGAAAGGCCTCCACGCTGGTTAGTCATTTTCCCGTACTGAGGAAAAATGGAGTTTACCCCAAAAGATGTCTAGTAGAGGGATGGCTGAATGAAGTGGACAGACCTGCTCTGAGACAGCTTGTAGAGAAAGTGAGGTCCCGAATCACCCAGCTACACAGGACAGAGCAAAGAGCAAGTAACTGACTAACAAAAGCGCAGGGTCAGCCCACTTGTAAAAGACAGACAGGGGAGGGGAGAGAAAAAAAAATCAGACAAAACCTTTACACAGGAAAGATGAAACAGCCATTTATTTACAGCAAGACGGAGGGAGTCTGAAAGTACGATGCGTAGTATTGTGTGTGAGGAAGACAAAAACCCTGGACATTTACATAACAGACGATTTGCCGCTTCCGACAAGGAGCAGACAGTAATAACCACCCCGAGGGGAGGTGGGGGCGAAAGGGACAAGGGACACGGGAGGGCGGTGGCAAAAAAACAAACGGAGCACGGTTGTTTTCGTGTTAGCACCTACGTGAAGAGATGCATGCCACCTGATGGTTTCCAGCCGTCGTAGATGAAAAACGCCTTACACGTGCGTTTGCAAACGAGGTGTGAGGGCCAAACTGTTTCTAACGGCTCGTCTCTGAGGCGTGAGGAGGGAAAAGGGCTGAAGCGCATCATTTCTATGGTTCTTGCACTGCTGGAATTTTGTCTCCTCCAAAAGCACACAGCGTGTTACAAAACAAACTCATGAAACCTTTGGAAATACGTAGATATGAGCAAAGCAGGTTTTTTCCCTGGATGGCCTCAAATAGTTGGCAGCTGTGACCGCAGGCAGCTGGACAGGAAGCAGCGCTTTCACTTTCATTCTGAATCTCTGCATTTTCTGACTAATTGAATCTTCCAATGCGAGACTTGAGGGTCAGAAGTCTACACTGCTGACCCTTTGCACACTTAAGAAAATCTAGTAAGTTTAACAATACACTTGAACAAAAACTTGCAAGCTGACCTGAGCCCTGAGGCACACAGCAGGGGAGGGAGGCATCGAGACGGGGGAGGGACAGCACAGGGGATGGGGGTGGTGGGTCACAGGTGCCCCGCTGGCGCTGGCGCTGGCAGGAGAAATCAAACACTGTCCAAAAATTAGCAACAAAGAAAATAAATTTACAAAATTAAAAAAACACACAGGTTAAATCTCCTTGGGCCCTACAGACACAGCTGCAGCTTCCCAGCCCACTTCCCTCCTGGCTCACCGCCCCCCCAACTGCCACCCCAGCCCACACCCCCACTGCCTCACTGCACATCCTACTCCTGGCTCTCAAAGCCCCCCCTGCTCCTCTCTGCAAGCCAACTACTGCCACTTGGGAACACAGACCCCGAGTTACGGGTCCAGGCTGTCCCAGCAAAACAAGACATCTCCAGCTTTATCCCCGAGCAGGCATTTGCAGCTCACCGGCTGTCTGGCAGCAGGCGCTGGTCTGCATCTGGGGATAGGGCTTGTCAGCTGACGAAAGAAAGGAACTCAGCACAGATGTGCCAGAGAGGGACAATCGCCAGGGAGAAAACCACCACCAGGGCTGGAGAGTAGGGAAGGGTAGAATGTGGAGATGGGGGGCTTTTCTGGTGGCCTAGGGGTTATGTCTCAGCGCTATCACGCGAAGGCCTAAGTTCAATCCAGCCGGAAGCTACCCACATGGCGCAGCAGACCTCTCCTGTCTCGCCCACTGCTCTCCTCAGCAGTGTGTTTCAGTAGATCCGCCTGTTCTGTCTCTGGTGAATCCTCTCACCCCTTGCATCTCTGGCCTACGCCCCAGTTCTTCTACACAAATGAATTTTTTAAAAAAGAAAAAGGAAAGTGGGGAAGAGGAGGGGTCACTCAAATCTTGAGTTCAAGGTAGAGGGCTGAGGCAGCAACATCTATTTTTAACACGAGCGTCCCAAATTATTTCACTACTGTGAGCCCCTAGCGGGCTACCTTCAGCCCACAGACGAGTGGTCCGCCCACCCTGGTAGAGAAGGGGACTGTGCATGCCAAGAAAGGTCGGGAAACAGACACATACACCTAGCGTCTCGAGTGGACCTACAACCCACACCCTCTTTACGGAGGGGGAACCGGCAGCAGGCGTCTAAGTGGCAGAGCCAGGATTCAGACTCAAGTTCCCCTAACATCCTGGGCACCCAGGAAGAGGCAGAAAACATACGAGTGGAGAACGCAGCAAGGGCTGAGAAGTCAAAGCTGCAAGGACCTGGCACAGGTCCGGGTCACAAAGCAGCGCAACCCCGTGGCTGGGCAAGTGTCAGGAACAAACCACGTGGCCGCCACGGCGAGACGCGCCCCGCCTCTTCCAGAGTAAAGCAAGATCAGTTACCGTCAGGATTTGAGAAAACCTCTCCACTGTCCTGGAGATAAGAGATGGACGACGCGGAGTTCGGTGGGCAGGAATCTTGATGCATTCCCAAAGGCCCAGTCTAGCAAGGGTGTCACCGTGTCTGTCCCTCCCCTCAAAGTCAACTGCCTACACCTAAGCCAAGGTGATGTAAGTATTAGGTGGGGCCTTTGGGAGGCAACGCAAGTAGAGCCCCCGCACATGAGCTGAAGGCCATTATTTAGATGCCCCGGAGAGTTCCCCAGCCCCCTCCCACCAAGTGTGGACAAACCACGTGAGGACATGGGAAGCTGCCACCCACAGTGGTGCTCGCCGAGCCCACTGCCCCCTTGGCTCATCTGGCCGGGCCCCAGGACAGTGAGAGCCGCATTTCTGTGCCCACGAGCCACCCAGCCTGTAGGATTTTGTTACAGAGCAGCCCGAACGGATTAAGGCAAACACCTTCCCCTCGAACACTCGGTGACCTAGCGCAGAGGCCACAGTATGCCGACGCTGCCCCAGGCTTGGGCCATGTTCGTGAGCAAGCGCAGAAGAGCAGCAGCAGAGGGGTAGAGAGTGAGGACATGGGGAGGACCGGGGGAGGACACGCCATGCGGTAAGAGCCCCAAGCTGTGCTTGCCTGCAGGACGTGGGACCTCCCAGACCAGTTCGCACAGGACTGCAGAGTTGGGGGGGATGGTGCAGACTGAGGGGGGAGGGAAGAGGCATTTTTGGTAATTCGTGGAGATGAGCACAGAACCGTACAGGTCTCTGAGAAATGTCACTTCGGTACTAACAGTGACAATAAAGACAAGGCTGGGGACCTGCTTGCTACACTTTCGACATAAATCATTTCACTTAAAGTGGTAGTTTCCAAGCCCATGGTGGTGAGAGGCGCCTATACCTGTCTTCACACCAGCAGCGCCAGAGGCGGACAGTCAGGGCTGACTAAAGCCATCACCTCACGCTGTCCTCGTTCGACGCCAAGTGATCTAAAACGCACACCTGCCTGAATCCAGTGCCCTGGGCTAAAGCCTTCCTGCCCTCTGCGCCCGCCCAGCTCCGCAGCCTCCATTCCAGCTCTTTGCTGGGCCACAGCACAGTGGGGCTGTCTTGGGACGGTTTCCCCAGCCCCCCAGAAGTCATCTCAGGGCCTGAGAGCCAGCAGAAAGTTCGTATACAAGGACCCGCCAGTGCAGTCGGATAAGCAAGGCGCACTAGGCTTACAGGGGACAGAGGTGGGTTCCTGCTCGCATTGGACCCAAATGGATGACAGGCCGCACCCTCAAGCCTTAAGCTGCCTACCAAAAGCTCCAGTGCACCTGAACCACCCGGCAGAATTAGTTTCCTGCCCCTCCTGCCTTCTACCTGTAATTCCCATGTAGCTGAATTTCCTCAGCTGACGCTACTTAATGTCGTGCCCAAATGCACTGACAATGCACCAAAGACTAATGACAAGATCAAACTGTAGGAGCAAAGTCCCATATTTACCTAATTTATGTTTAGGTCACATTCAGTATTTTCAAGACAGCCGAAGATATCACTTTTCAAATGAAAAAAAATCCAGAAAGAAAACAACACACGTGTCTATACAAGAATTCTGTGAGGCCCATATTGGAAAAGAACGGGGCACTGTGTTAAGGTTCCCCACAATGAGAACTCAAACACAGCCTCCGTTCTCCAATCCACGTGAGAAACCACCCGGCAAAGCCTTAAAGACAAACCTACTTTCCTGAGGGCCTATTTTTATTGCTTTTGCTAAAATAACTCAACTCACTTCCCAGGACTTGTCCCCCCACATAAAGAATTCCTCTTCACCCCTGAAAGCCCAAGGTCCCCAAGCCAGAATGCAAACTCAGGAGGGCAGGGAAGGTAGGGCTCTTCGTTTACTGGAGAACCCCAAGCAGCCAGAAAACTACCTGGTGCAAACTAGGCCGGTGCTCAACTTTCCCTTGCTAAAAAACAAAGAAAGGAAACTGAAGTCTTCTTACACAAAAGAGTTGGTACAGAAGGAGTTCGTGGAGGAGCTGCATGGTCGGCCTGCCCCCAAGTGCGGAGAACCCCTCAGCCCATCAGGAAACTGAACGTTTACCCTCCACGGGAACTCAACGCTGCCCCACACCCCCACCGAACAAAACCCCAACGTGCTAGAAACTGAGACTGCTGAAAAGTCACACCAAGAAGCAAATTCTGAGCCAAAACGGACCAAAGTACCAGGGCACGAGGCGGCCAATTTACCACCGAAACGCCTCCATCTGCGCCCGCTGAGCAGACAATGCACCTTCCACGGGCGGCGTCCCCGGCCGGCCGCACCTGCCCACGACCAGAGCAGCCCCGACAGCTGGGGAGCCCGGCCCGCGCCCCACCCTATTAAGCCAGGCCGGGAGCCGGCACAAACAAAACATTCCGGATTGTTCCAAAGTGTGGCCAAGTTTTGAAGGCGGCAGAACCGCAGGCGGCCTCCTGGGTCTTCTGGGTCGGCCCGAAGGAGACCTCGGCGGAGCCCAGACTCCGGGGAGCCCCGAGCTTCCCAGACCCCGATTTACTCGCGCCCGCCCGGCCGCCCACATTCCCGCCCCACCCCTCGGGCCACGTGGACGAGGCTCCGCCGGCGGCCGGGGCGCGCACCTACCTTGAGGCTGCAGGCTTCCTCCTCCAGGGAGGCCATGTCCTCCAGAGAGGGGTCGGCGGGGCGCAGAGGCGACGCCCCCGAGGACAGGCACCCCCGCGCGCTCCGGGTCAGGCCGTCCCCGCAGGCGGCCCCGCCCACACCGGGCCCGCGGCGCGCGAGGGGGAGGCACCGGGGCGGCGAGCTGGGCCCCGGGGCGGCCTGGGCGGGCGGGCCGCATCGTCCTCGCCGCGGGCTCTCAGGCGCGCGGGGCTGCCGGGCCCTGCGGATCGCGACGCGGGGCCCCGGGCCGGCCGGCCGGGGGGGGCCGCATCCCCGGGCTCGCGGAGGCAGCTGCGCTTGCGGGGACAGGCTTCCGAGGGGCCGCTCCAGTGGTGCTTGACCTTGCGCCGCTCCGCCGCCATGGGCACCTGCGGACAGAGGCGATGGAGCGCCCGCGCGGGGCCCGGGGACCCGGCCGCCGCCGCCCGCCCGCCGGGCCCCCGCCCGCCCGGCCTCGCGCCAGCCCGGCCGCCCCGCGCGCGCTCCGCGCCCTTCCGACGCCCCGGCGCCCGCCGGCCGCGCCCGGGCCCCACAGGCCTCCGCGGCGTCGCGCCCCCGCCCGCCGGGCCCCGGCCGCCCCCGCGCCCCGAGGCCGCGCGCCCAGAGCCGCCGCCCGGCCCGGCCGGAAGGGGCCCGGCCGCCGCCTCGGGACACCCCCGGCCGCCGCTCACCCTTCCGCGCCTGCAGCCGCGCCCCGACGCCGCCCCGCGGCCGCCCGCGCCCCCCGCGACGGCCCGCAGCTGCGGCCGCCCCGCGCGAGTCCCGCCCGGAACCAGCCCTGCGGCCTCAGCCCGGGAGCGGCGGGGCGGGGCCTGCGCCGAACGCCGCGCGCCCGTGGCGCCCACCCGCGGGGGGCGGGACGCCGAGCAAGACGGAGCTCGCCCGTTGGCCAGGCGGCCCGGAGGCGGGAACCTGCGCCTTAAGAAGCCCGCTCATTGGCCGGAAATGGGGAGGGGCGGGGCGAAGCCGCTCACGTGGTCCCGAAGAGCGCGAAGCCGAGGCGAGACCGCAGCGGCGCGGGTGCGCGCGCTCGCCGGCAGGGGGCGTCGCGGGCCCAGCTCCCCCGCCGCAGCGCTCCCGCCCCGACCGCGAGGAGCGCGCGCCGTCGCCTCCGCGCCTCCGAGCGGGAAACGGCCTCGGAGACCCAGTGACGCACCGGCGCGCGACGGCGCGCGCAGGGAAAGGGTCGGCCGCACGCGCAGACACGGGGTACGCCGACTACCGGCGGCCGACGGGCGGGGAACGGGAACTCGAAGACAAGGCGCAAACTTAGTGCAACTCAGGACGAAGGGCTGACGGCCTCACTGCTAAAATCTCACGCCCTAGGGCCTCCCTGGTGGCGCAGGCGGTGGAGCGCTGCGCTGCGAAGCTGTCCGCAGCCTCTGCAGCGCGGGTTCGATCCCCGCCGCCGGCCTCGGAGCAACCCACATGGCGCGGCAGACCTCCCCTGTCTCCCCGCTGCTCCCCTCAGCAGTATATTTCAGTCAGTCTGCCTGTTCTGCTCCCCACTCTGTCTCTGGTGGGTCCTCTCACCCTCCCACATCTGGCCTGTACCCCGGTTCTTGTATAAATAAATAAATTTTTAAAATAAAATAAAATCTTACGCCCTGAGGTCATTCAGTATTACAAGGGGCAAAGGAACCCGGGGCAGGAACCCAGTTACAAAAGGCTCCGAAATAAATGAAAAAAATAACTCCAGCCCACTCATTTTAAAAGGACAAATAAGGGGCCTCCCTGGTGGCACAGGGGTTAGGACCCAACCTATGAAGCTGTCCGCAGCCTCTGCAGCAGGAGTTCGATTCCAGGCCAGGGAGCAACCCACATGGCGCAGCAGACCTCTCCTGACTCGCCTGCTGCTCCCCTCAGCAGTGTGTTTCAGTCAGTCTGCCTGTTCTGTTCCCAGCTCTGTCTCTGGTGAATCCTCTCACCTCCCACACCTCTGACGTGTACCCCAGCTCTTGTATGCATAAATAAATAAATCTAAAAAAAAAAGGACAAATAAAATGATCTTCACACATTAGATGATGGTGACAGGAAAGCAGGGTGAATTGGCAGGCCTGGCAGGGAGAGACTCTCCCCCACAGCACTGATGGACCCCTAAACTGACACAACTTCCTGGGAGCCGCTGCTGTGGTGCGGGTAGAACCCCCCTCAGCAGCGGCAAGACCCACCGGAGCTGGCTTGTGTATTTACAGAGTTGTGCAACCACCAGCATCACACTGGCATTAGAACGACTCCACCCAGAAAGAAATCTTGTGCCCATTACCAGTCCTGCCCTCCACAAACCACACTCACGCACACACACACCCTGGGTGGCCCTTAATCTAGATTGTTTCTGTACGTTTGCCAATTCTGGACATTTTGTAAAATGGAGTCATCCAGTGTGACTGGATAAATAATCTTTCGCATAATCTTTTCAAGATTCACATATGTTGCAACACATAGCAAGTCCCTCATCCTTTTCTCTGGCTGAATAATATTCCGTGCTGGGGGGGTACCATTTGCCCACCCATTCGGTTGTTGTCAGGTGCTTGGGTTACTTCTAACTCGGTGTTATTAGCAAAATGGTGAACACTGGTGTGCAAATTTTTAATGTGGACATTTCTCTTGGATAAAGACCTAGGAGTGGAATTTCTGGGCCATATGGAAGTCCTGTGCTTAACCTTTTGAAGACCTGCCAAACTGTCTTACAATCCCATGACCAGGTCTCCACACCCCTGCCTGCACCTGCTGTTGTCTTATCTATTCTCTCCATCCGAGCAGGTATGAACTATCTCATTATGGTTCGGATGTACATTTCCCTAATGACTGATGATGTGGAGCAACAAGAAAAGAGTCTCCGGAAGGATCCCCCTCTGGAGAAAAGAAACGAAACACTGATTCCAGGGAGGAACGGGCTTCCTTTCCACCCTGTCATCTTCATACTGCTTGGATTTTCTTTCTTTTTCTTTTTTTTGGTCATGTGCCTCTATTAACTTAAAAAAGATAGTCAGAACTTCTCTGTGGGGATTCATGGAAAGATACTGCAGTGCTCGTGAACCCCTAGAATTCACATATGGAATTGTATGTGTATTTATATTTACAGCTTGCTGGGGGAGAAGGTCAATAGCTTTCATTACATCCTCTCAACTATATGAAACCCTAGTCCGGAAATGCAACTAAGTCTGCATAACCAGTGCCCTGTGGGGACCAGCCCTCTCCCTCAGATAGCCCTGAAAACACCCTACTCATGCTCATAAGGTACTTACCAGGCCAGGTCCTGTCTGGGGCACAGGACACGCTCTAGTTGAACCCTCGTAGCCACTGTTAGAGTGTAACCTCCATAAAAAGGGAGGTTCCATGTTCCCTGGCCCGCCTAACGAAGGGTGGAGCTGAGCGGCAGTCTTGGAGAGAAGACTGCAAAGGAGACTTGGAGCAGGCATAAGGAGCCAAGTCTTGTGAAGAAGGCGCATACTTGATTCTCAGTTTCGGACTTGCACCGGGGTCTGGACGTGGAAGGAGAAACGTGGAGTCAAGACATGTAGACACTTGGAAGAGACGTGAGTGGGAGGCCTGCAGGGAGGCTGATGACCGCTGCTACCTTGATTTGTACTTTAATTTTGCTCCTTTCCAGACTTGTCTGGCTCCTGCTGCCCCTTTCTTGTGGTTCCCCTCCAGAAGGTGCCTCAGACCTGTGGCAGGCTTTGGGGCCTCAGCAGCTGTTTGTGGACAAACCTGTTTGGGCATTTACCTATGAGGGGATGGGTAACTTGGGTGTTTTCTTGGGAAACTATTATCCTTTCTTCTCTCCCTATGCATGCTAATCCTGTTAAAGTCCTTTCACATAAGAGAATGCTTTGTCTTTATGCAGCGGATAGCAGTACCCATTTAGAGCATGGAGTTTGGGTGTCCCAGGATACCCCTCAGTTTGCACACTACCACCGGAGCTTAAGATGGGTGTCACTACAGATCTCTGTCCACCTGAGCTGAAGCCCCCAGACTGTTACAATCAGTGCAGAGCTGGGGGGTATGGGGGGTGCTTCTGGATGCTTTCTTTTACTCTTCCCATAGTGCAGATGAAGAAACAGGTTCAGAGTAACTCCCTCACCTGGCCCAAGATCACAGCACTGTCAATAGCCAATACCGAGAGGCTGGGTGTAATGACCAAGTCACCCCAAGGGACTTGGGATGTAGAGTACCTTCTTCAAACAAACCCACCTAGACACAAAACTAACTACAACATATCTGTTGACCAATTTATTTTTATTTTACAAGTAGTAGGAAAAAATCACCATAATCAGATTATCTAAAGTAGAACACAGTGCATTTAAAGTATCATGTTTCACAAAAAGATTTGCCACTTTTCAGAAATAGACCCGCGCAGAAATGTTAGGTTCATGGCAGAAACACACATTTAATGCCTTTTTAATTCTTTGATAAAACAGGACAAGTGCATTTTCAAAGTGCTCCTGTAGACGAGTCTCCGGCTCCTCCTAGGGGCCCAGAGCAGGCAACTGAACAGGTGTACTTACTTACAAGGAAACAGACTCCAGAAATTAAATGACTGACTTAATTAGCAGCAGAATCAGACATGAAGCTAGTTCTCCTGACTCTTCCTCTAGCCATAAATAAAACACATTCTCAAAATAAAAGCTCTATTAAAAATATTAGCGTTAGTGGGGCAGGGGATAAAGGTGCTATGAAGGCATTAAATAAATATTTAACTAAGAGAACTACTTATTAAGAGAAAGCAGAAAACCTACAGCGCCCTTTGTCAGGTGCCTGGCATTGGGCAATACCCGAGACCTGGGCAGGTGAGTCAAGAACTGCATCAAGACACACACTGAAAATCTTTCAGGTCACAGAAGTCTCCGGGTGTTGCTGGAAAGGTCTTCAATTGGGAAAGCGCTGTCGGCGTCCAGCTGGCTCTGCCAGCTGCCAAGGGGGTGAGTAGGTAATAGTGTCCACTGGGGTGGTCAAGGTCACAGGCGTCCTGCATCCTGGACCCACATCCCAGGGTTTACCGCTGCAGTCTCCCGGTACCCAGCTCTGACCGACGAATCAGAGGAGACACATAGATTGGTGGCTCCAAAAGCTGAGGTCCCGCTCCCCAGTTTCACACTGGTAATGTGGAGGAGGTGACATGACGCAAAAATCGTTTCTCTCGAGTTTGTGTTTCCTGGGAGATCCTGGATTCAGACTCAGATCTTCCTGTACCTGGATGGCGGGCTTTGCAACTGAGGACAAGGGGTCTCAGCTGCGCACGGTCATCAGGGGCCGAAAAGCTCGATGCTGTCCAGCTTCTCCTCCTTGTAGAGCAGGATATTCTCCATCAGTTTCCTTTTGGCCTCATTGATCTCGATTTTCCATGAAGTCTCTGGAGTTGATGTTAACAGAAAGTTTAAAAAATAAAGCAACTGAACAAAAGGCATTTGAAAATGGAACAATTACTATGATTCTTAGAAATTTCTGGGTCAGCTTCTGAATCAGGTCCTGAGAGCTGTGAGCATTTCCTGGCTTCCGCCGCGGCGAGGGGCCTGCCACTGCCCACTTTCAGAGGAGGGGGCCTCCAGGCACCCCCCGTGGGAGGAGGAGGGGACAGGCTTGGTGAGAGCCAGAGAAGAGGACGCTGCCTTCAACTGGCCTTCTGGATTTTTATTCCAGAAGAAAGTCCTGTATTTGGACCTGGGAGGCCGCGCAGGGATCTTGAGAAGAGTGGGAGGGCACAGGGCTTATGCCGGGAAGTGAGGACAGGAGGCGGCCAGGGCAGAGCACTCCGGCCTCACTGGTCCCTGCACTAGATGCGGGGTCCACCCAGGGCTTCAAAGGAGGGGTGATGTGTTGTTTTTAAAAAACAACTTTCTCAGTGTAGGGTAAGGTAAAAAGTATCAGGCTTTTCTGCCCTCCCGCCCTCAGGACAGATGATGGATCCTTGCGGTCCTGAATGCATGCCTGATGGCGGGCACCTGGAGTGGGGTGTGGGCATCTGTAGATGGGATTCACCTGGGCTAGGACTGGGCTTATAAGGGCGGCGTCACGGGGACGCCAAGAAAAGCATAGACAAGAATGAATGGAGAGGGGCCTCCCAGGTGGCGCAGCGGTTGATAAGCTGCCCGCGGCTGCGGCGGTTCGATCCCGGCTGCTCCCCGGCCACCAGAGGAGGGTCCCACATGGCGCGCAGACCTCTCCTGCCGCCCGTTGCTCCCCCCAGCAGTGTACCTCGGTCCTTCTGCCTGTTCTGCTCCCTGCTCTGGCTCTGGTGAATTCTCTCACCCTCCCGCGCTTCTGACTGTACCCAGTGCTTGTATAAACCAAACAAACAAACTAAATAAATAAAAAAAAAAAAATGCCTCTATTAAAAAAAAAAAAAAAAAATGAATGAATGGAGAGAGCAGAGAGAAAGCAAGGCCAGAGAGCCCAGAAAGAGTGAAGACTTGCTGGCCTCCCAGCACCCCAGCACCCCTGCCTGCCGTGTGCCTGGTAAATCCCAATAAAAGCCTGAAAAGCCACCGAGGGCTCCAGGACTCTCCCCTCCTTTACCCCGTCTGCTCAGGTCATAAAGATCCTGCTCCGTGTCATTCCCGCCCCTACAGTCTGGCCTCCCTGGTGGCGCAAGGGGTTAAGCACTGTGAAGCAATCCGCAGCCTCTGCAGCACAAATTCTATTCCTGGCCAGCCAAGAAGCAACTCACATGGCATAACAGACCTCTCCTGCCCTGCCCGCTGCTCCCCTCAGCAGTGGATTTCAGTGGATCTGCCTGTTCTGTTCCCCGCTCTGTCTCTGGTGGATCCTCTCACCTCCTGCACCTCTGGCCTGTGCCCCAGTCTTGCATGTATGAATAAATAAATATTTAAAAAAAAACTTTCTCTTGTGGCTGCCTGCAAGGACTGGAGAGGGGCAGCAGGGGTCAGTGAGGACACAGGGAGGCCATGCGGCCGTCCAGCAGGAGAGGACAGGAGCTGAGACGAGGGGAAGGGGACGAGGAGGCAGAGAAGCAGAGGCAGCCGGAGGTACTCAGGAGTCAAGGACAGCCTGGGTGAGGGACTGGACCCTGCGGCGGGGAGGGCGGTGTCAAGGAGGACCCAGTGTCTCCTTGGGCGGTCTGGTGGCAGGTGACTGGCTGAACCACCAAGGGAACGGGGGAACGAGGAAGATGAAGGAACCGAGGACCAGCTGGGTTAAAGACACATGAATGACCACCACCGCTTACCGTCCTGGGAAGGCTTCGCGCTGGCACAGGCCTCGGAGGAGGAGTCGGCCTCCACTCCCCCACCAGCCTGCAACCTCCCTTCTCCCACCTCTGTTTCTCTCTCCTCTGTGCGGGGAGGAAGGGGGGCAGCCCCACATGAGGAGGCACCGAGGCTGGAAAGGTCCACGTCGTCCGTTTCTTCTGGGGTGTTGGAGGAAGAGCCGGTGCCCTCAGAGAGTTCACTACATGGGAGTGAGGCGGCCTGACCTCCGAGCTGCTCCTCCACGGTGGCCACCCAGCCACACACCTGGGGGACAGAGGGCGCATGAGCACTCACCAGGAACTCTGCTGAAAGCTACTCTCTCCCAGCCGGGCCCCCGGCCTCAGGAGAGGGACACGAGGCAGCAAATGCCTGTTTCTGGGTCTGGAAGATCAGCGGCCTTTCTTGGAAAGGAGCTAAATCTGCCCCACCCACCAGGGCCAGACAGGAGCTCGGTGGCCAGGTGGCCAGTCACAGGCCAGTCACAGTCCTGGGCTGGGGTTTTATCACCTACAGCTTATTGAGGAGAGACTGTTTTCCTTTGTACTAGCAGAGCCAGACACCCCCCCCCTAAAACACACACACACAAAACCCACCTAAATAGGAGAAATGGAGGCCCCCATTCCCACACTGCTGGGTTAAAGAGAATAAACTAAACTTCTATCTCATTAAACCACTGCATTTTGGGGTCTCCTCACTGTAGCAGGCCCCAGGACAAATGAGAACGGTTGCAGGGGTGAATGAATACTAAGTGGTTGAGGGAGAGATCGTTTTAGAACATAAATCTGATTACGTCCAGCCCCTGCTTAAAACCCCTAGTAACTTCCCCAAATCCTCCCTGTGCCCGCAAAGCCTGCTCTTGGGCCGCTCCTTCCTCGCCAGCCTCGTCACCAGCTGCTCCAGCCCACGGACACCGAGTTCTGGCCGCTCTGACCTTCCTCGGGGCCTCGACCGTGCCAGGCTGCTTCTCAACTGGGGCCTTTCGCATGAGCTGTTCCTTCCACTTGGGCTGCCCTCCGTCCGCTCACACATCACTTCCTCGTCCTCGGACAGATACCCCCGGCCCAGCAAACTCCGCTGAGTGAACCACCAGAGGCCGTGGCAACTCGGGGGCGGGGAGGGGGGAGCAGTCCAGGCTGGCAGCGATGTCTCGGGGTTCCTGCCCCATCACAGTGCAAGATGGCAGACGTGGGCCAGAGGTGGGAGTCCGGGGGGCCCTGACAGACACTCTGTGGCCTCTCCTCCTCCTCCTCCTCCTCCCTGGGGGAGCTGGACGGCAGCAGGAGTGTCTGAGGATGTTGCTCAGCTAACCAACCCTTTCCTCTAAGGAAACACGGAGACCCCAGTGTGACTGTATGAGAAGTGAAAGGGGGTGTCTGGCTGGCGACACGGGTGGGGCGCGCAGCTCCCCCAGCCCCTCTTGCTGCCAGCAGGAAGCCTGAGGTATTCTCAAGAGCCCTCTCGGCAGGACACCACTTGAAAGTCACTCAGCCAGATGAGCTCTAAGAGCCCTCTCAGACATCCATTTTGTGCTTACAAAGACCTAACAGTGGCCCCCAAATTTATAACTGTTACCATGGAAACCCTCTCATCCATAGGAAAAAGCTTTGTCCCCTGTGGTGGCTGCTTTCTTGGTGTCTGCCTAGCCCTCAACAAGAGAATGGGGGAACGAGCCGCCAGCGGGCCCCGAGAGAGGAGAAGAAAGAAGCAGAGACACAGAGGGCAAGTGCTGTTAGCACGCGGGGGTCTGGTCCTGCCCCCACCCGAGGCAGCAGCACCCACTCGCCCACAGCCCCTGAGACGCCCCATCCATCTGGTTCCCTTGCTAATGTGCGCGCCAATGATTCTGCTACTCGCAACCAAGTGCAGCCCTGGTTTATAACTCACACCTCAGGAATCTGGTCACCCCAGCTGTCACCCAGCAGTGGGGAGGTGGAGGCGGGGGCGGGGGGAGTTGGCTCAGGTGAGGGCCAACTGGCCCGGCTGCCCGCGGGGAAGCTGAGCCGGCTCACCTCGGCCAGGCTGGTGTTGCGTCTCCGCAGGCAGAGGCAGGCGGCCGTGGCCAGGGCCTCCGCGCAGTCCTCCTGCAGGTGGCCTGCCCTCGTCTCCAGGTACCTGCGGCAGATCTCCTTGGCCACAGCCCTCTCCACGCCCGTCTTCCTGGAGCAGAGCGAGGTGCCGCCGCCGGGGATTTCACCCAGGAGTAAATCCTTCTGCAGGAGGAGAGTGGAAGCACCGTGTGGTGGCGGGAGGCGGCTCCTTGCGAGCCCCCCCACTCCAGGGCAACACCAGAGCCCCGAAACGCCTCAGAAAATCAACATGTAGGAAAATAAACACAAGGAGAAAGACCAGAGGGCAGGTCACCAAATATTAACAGGGGGATCTCCAAGCGTGGTTTCTGTTTTCCTTTTTATAGATTGCTGGATTTACCAAAGGTTCTACAAGGCCGCGTTGCATTTAAAATTAAGCAAGGGGGCCTCCTTGCTGGCCTAGGGGTTAAGTCTCAGAGCTATCTCTGCTGCAGCCTAAGTTCAATCCTGGCCAGGGAGCTGGCCCACATGGTGCGGCAGACCTCTCCTGTCTCCCCACCGCTCCCCTCAGTAGTGATTTCAGTAGATCTGTCTGTTCTGCTCCCCACTCTGTCTCTGGTGAATCCTTTCACCCCCGGCACTTCTGGCCTGCACCCCAGTTCTTCTACACAGAACTACATAAATAAAATTAGAACGAAAATTAAACATTTTGTGTTTGCATTTAACACTGGAGTTCCCGACGTTCTGCAGTATTTCCCACTTGTTAACTTCAGCCATCCGGATCCTGAGACAACGTGGTCTCTCCTTCTTGGTCATGTCCTCAGCCTCTCTGGCTTCAGGCTGTTCTCGGAAGTCACAGAGCTTGTCCTGCGCCTCAGAGCTTTCGCACTTGCTGTTCCCTCTGACCTCCAAGTTTTACCACATATAGCTCAGGGCCCTGCGCACACATCACTTCTCCAAGGCGCCTTCCCTGCACTAAGCCTTCCCCCGTCTTCACTCTACCCTAACCTGAATGGTACACGTTTTCATTTACTTGACTATCATCTGTTCTAGATCCAGAAAGAAACCGCCACGAGGGTCAAAACTTTATCTTGCTTGCCACTGTATCCCCAGCACCAAGAACCAGTGCCTGGCAAGAAAAGTTAAGTAATAATAACAACAACGTTGATGACTGACATTTATTTAGCTCTTACTCTGGGCCAGGGGCTGAGTGGGGTGGAGTCCAGAGAACCTGGCCAAACTCCAGCTTCACCCTAGGAACGCTGAGGCCACAGGCAAGCCTCAGAGGCGGCCTTCCTCCTCCATCGATGGGCACATGACCCTACAGGCCTCATGGGGATTTGGAGATGATTTAAAGCAATAACATCTGTAAGAAGTGAAAACTGCACTCGGCGAACCATATACATTAACTCTACACCCTATATGTATATCGTCATTTCAAATATATATAATAGTTCTTGGAACCTACAAAATGGAATTATATGTTATTGTAGAAACCAGTTTAAAGGGGCTGAAGTTGACTTTTAGCAAGCGGAGGACAAAGTACTTGATTGCCCGAGGTGTGGAGAGAATGGGCTTCCTCTAAACATTCTAAATTCCATTATCATGAGAAAGTAACTGTTGACTGGGGGAGGTTGAAGCCACTTTGCACAGATGCAAGTAAACCCAGGACTGAGGCCACTTTCACATCCGTAAAATGGGAACCGTGAAGTCCCTGTTCTCTGAGGGCTCAGAGGCCCGGCGCTCAGAGGCCCAGTGCACCACCCAGCCAGAAGTCACTGGGTCCCTTACCAGGTAGACTGGGCTTCGGCTGTTATCCATGGCAGGGATGCCCGTGAGGACCTCGGCCAGCACCTGGAGAGAACGCACAGTTAGCAGGGCTCACACACTCAGGCAGGAGATTCTGGCCAAGAGAAGCTTCTCGGTAACTGGGATGTGGGAATACCCCCAGCAGATGGGTAAAAGGTTCCAGTTAATCGACAGCAAGGCAGGGAGGACAGAAATCAAATGTGCAAGTTGCCATCAGTTACACACACACACACACACACACACACACGTATTCACATACCTATACACACATTTATACACATGAACACAGACCCACCATGTTTTCAAAAAGTTGTGTTTAAAAACCCATCAGAAATGGTAAGCTGGCACTGCTGTCAATCTCAGGAAGAAGGGGCCTCGTGTGCGACCACTTGTTCTGCACAGAAAGCCCTGGCGACATCCCCAGCAGGCTCACCCCCACAGGCCTTTGTGGTCATTTGCTCACTAACTCATCAGCCACGAAAGCTCCGTAGCCCAGGGCCAGCAGAAGCCACCGTACAATTCACCAGGAAACCTGCTTTGAGCAGTGATTCTGGGCAGAGCGAACAGCTTGGTGGCCGCGGGCCCTACCAGCGGACAGGGCTGGGTTCAAGTTCTGACTCTCCAGCACAGGTAACCTCTGGCCAGGTAAAGTCTGAATGTGGGGGCACTGGGTTGAACTCTGTCTCCCACAACCCTCTGGAAACAACTCAGACAGGGTCACATGACTGCCAGGGAATCCTCCAACCCTGGGGAAGAAGGTTCCCACGCACCCAGAGCCCTGAGTGAATAACAGGTTGGCGGTGGCCAGCAAGGGGCAGCAGGGGAGCCCCCGCAGCAGGTGGACAGGATCCAGGCGACCTGCACCTGGCAGGGAGGAGGAAGAACAGGGTGAGCCAGCATTTCCTCTGCATTTCCTCTGCCCCGGCCACGCGGCAGGCTCTGCTATCCACAGCTGAGCTGGCCTTTGACAGAAATCCGCTTGCCTTTCTTAACCAACATTTCCTTCAGTGATCACAAAAAACCCTGAGAAATGCACCAAAGTCAACATCCTCAGGCAGTGGCGGGGGAAGGTGTGGAGGAAGCCAGGGCCCTGTGAGGGAGCGATGGTCACTGAATGAACGAGGATGACAACTAGGGCTACATCAAGGGCTGAGCTAAAATGTCCAGGGTAAACAGAAATGGGGCGGGAGGGGCGGGCAACAGCCACAGAAACAATCAACAGCCTTGACTTGGTGACAGGAGGGTGTGGCCTGGGGGCAGGAGGAGGGTGGGCTGAGGACAGCAGGTGGCCTGGAAGAGGGCTTGAGGACAGGTGGACAGACAGGAGATAGTGGTTAGAAAGAAGAAGTGTCTCGTTCCAGGCGCAGAGGAAGAGAGAGGCCACAGCTCCAAAGCAGCTGGTCAACCTCTGGGCAGCGGTCAACCAGAGAGGGTGGCATTTCTCAGCCAGCACTCCCCAGACGGGGTTCCACTGGCATGGATCATATTCCAAGAAAGCCAGGTTCCAGGGCGGACATACCATTTGCCCCTGAACACCCAATCACCAAATTAAAGGTGAAAGGTTTGGGCTAATCATGGGATAAAGAAATTGACTTGCCTTTCTTAACCCAGCATTTCTCAAATCTATTTGGAAACCTTTGAGCATGTCAGACCTACGGAGAACCGAAGAGATGTACCTGGAGCCCACGAGCTCCTGGAGATGAGACTGTTCATCGCACTTACGTTCCCCATCCCCAGCACACAGTAGGCACACAGGGGTGGTGGCGAGGGGGGAGGTGGGTGGTGGGCGGATGGATGGTCAGGCAACAGGTGAACAGATGGACAAAGCGGATGGAGGAACGGACAAGGACAAGCCGACACCTGGACTGACAATTCGATGGGAAGGGGAAGTTGGGAGATGTCCCTGCAGGCCCTGGAATCCAGAGACTCGGATAAGAGCTGACAAGCTTTTCTGCAACAGACTAGACAGGAAACATTGCAGGCTTGTGGGCCATGCACAGTCTCTGTCACATCTTCATCTTTTTTTATATACAATTTTTATGAATGCAAACACCATTCAGTTTGCTGGCCCTTGCTGGCCTCTCCTGTCCTTTGGGGGGACACCCCTGAAAGCCTCGCTGTGCCCTGTGTTTGTGCGGGGAAGGGAAGAGGCAAATGGGTGCAGTCCCTCCCCACCCCAAGCAGAGAAGGAGCTCTTACTATCCCGCAGCTGAAGACGTCCACGCGCTTGGTCAGCTGCCCCACCCTGAGGAAATCTTCCGGCAGATACGCAACTGAGGCCTGGAAGAGGCGGGTCTTCATCGTTGTGCATTTTGACCCCTTGTTGACAGGACACAGGTGAGTCACGGGATGAGCCAGCTTGGGGATGAAGTTCTGGTCCAGCAAAACATTGGAGCTGTGGGGAGGGAAAGAGACCCCTTTCACTCTGAGCCACGTAAGAAGAGGCGGCCTTGGAGATGCAGCCGTGAAAACAATTCAGCCATGAGTATTGTGACCCCCTGCAGTGGGGGTCATGGAAGACCCTGGGCCTGGGGCTCCTGAGTCAACCCTGACGGGACCCTGGAGTCCATCCCTGCAGCAACGGGGACACAGCTAAGATTAGCGCTGCTCCCAGGAAGTGGCGGGTGTGTGGCCAACATGGTGCCGCACCCCAGCTCCCGGTGGACCCATCAGTCCGCCGCAGTGGTGGTGTCAGTCCCATCCCTTTAGGGGCTGTCCCCACCCCAGCTCTGGCCGGCGACAGTCCAAACGCCAGCCTCCTGTGTGACCTGCCGCCTGGCTCCTGGGCCCCCTAAGCGAGGGCAGGACCTCTCGGAAGGTCCTCGAAAGAGAAAAGGCAAAACAAAATGTCACGACGTCAATAAAACACTCCATAGCCAACAAACCCAACAGTGCAGAAAGCGCACGCCACGCCCTGGGCCTACTAGCAGGAGAGGCTGAGGAAGTGACGCGGCCCCGCGGCCCGGCCCGGACGCTGCTGGCGGGCAGAGGCTTACTGCTGTCTGGGAAGGAAGGGGCAAGAGGCCGAGTGTGGGTCACCAGGCAAGTGCGCTACTGCCGGGCTAAAAGGAAGCAACAGAAAAACAGAGGCCAGGACGAGGCAGCGCGCAGGGCCAGGGCCAGGGCGACGTCTCACGCTCATTCCTTCCTGGCTCTCTCAGTTCTTTGTTCAGTCCAGCAAGGATCGGGAGAGAACAGAGGACAGGGCTCCCACTGGGCAGGCTGGGAGAGAGTTGGGGGGAAGTTTGAGTTCTACGGCTTCACGGTCAAGCTGCCAGGGTTTCTGGGCTCCTCTGGACTGTCTCCCCCTGCTGCCAGACGGGGACGGCCTGCTCTTGGGGGCCTGGGACTGGTGCCTCCTGGGGGCCTCCTCCTGGTGTGGGAAGCCTCTGGGATGAGTCCCTTTCATCACCAGACACGCAAGTAGGGATCTCAGAGAAGACCCTGAGCAAGGAGTTAAAAGCCCAAAGGGCTTGGGGGCACAGCCTAAAGCTGTGGAGGGGAGCAACTTGCTTCAGGGGCACAGAGCTGGTGCTGGGAAGACCGGGCAGATGGATGCCACCGCCATCAGAGACACGGCGCCTGGGGGCCAGCGGAGAAAGAAGCGTCCCAGGAGGAGAGCTGGGGAGGATGGCGAGAAGGGGTCAGAGGGAGAGCTGGGGGGTCTGGGCCCTCGGCAGGCCACCGCTCACCTCTTGACATTGCCGTGGATGATGTCCAGCCCGTGCAGGTGTGCCACGGCCTGAAGCAGGCCCGAGCAGATGTGCACCCGCTGGGGCCAGGGCAGGAGGTCTGCGTCACCCTGGGAGGGGGAAAGAAGGAGAAACAGTCACCCCAGGGCCTTTGTAAAGCCCAGAGGGCAAGGGCCCTGGGCTCCAGGCTCTCCTCCAGCCCCTCGAGTCCTCCCCACCAGGCTCAGCCACTCGATCCGCAGGCCAGGCAGCAGTTTTGACATCAGACAGGTTAGTGGAAATCCCAGCTCGGTCGCTCGCAAGCTGTGTGACTCTGGGAAAGCACTTAGGGTCTCTGAGCCTGGTATAAATGGAGACACTGATGGCTTCAGGGTGGTGAGAGGTTCAGGAGAGGACGGAGTGAGCCCAGCACTGTGGGCCACATAGTAGGTGCTCAGTGAACAGCACTGCTTGTATCTTGACAACTGCAGCTCTGGAATTTCTCACGAGGAGGGAGGCTAGCGGGAAAGGAGCTGGGGACCCTGTGTGGGCACATCCTCTGACCTTACACAGATTTTACGTGTGTGCAGGGGGTGCTACTCCAGAGCTGATGGGGATCATGGGGTGCTGCTGCTGCTGTTCTGATGGAACCCCCAGGCTAAGTCACCACTTATTTTCCAAGCTCCATATCCTCTAAGAACTGTAAGAACTGCCTTGCTTAATGGCTTTCTTCTCCAAAACTATGAACCTGGAGCCACATGAACCCCAATAAATCTTAGCCCTGATATTTGTCAGCTGTGTTCCTTCTGGCCATCACTTTGCCCTAAGAAGGCAGAGACCCAAACCCGAGAAGGGAAACCTCCAGGGCTGCGGGCCCAGGCACAAGCACAAAGCCTTGCAGAGCATCGCCAGGCTCAAGGTCACCCACAAGGCGCTGGCCCCTACAAGGGCAGCAGCAGTTCTATCCTGGGACAACTTTTCTCTCAGAAGATTTCATGCAAATGAGGTTTACTTTTATTTTTTTAAGATTTATTTTTATTTATTTATGCATACAAGAACTGGGTTGTAGGCCAGAGGTGTGGGAGGGGGTGGTGAGAGGATTCACCAGAGACAGAGTGGGGAAGAGAACAGGCAGATCCACTGAAATCCACTGCTGAGGGGAGCAGCAGGGAGACAGGAGAGGTCTGCTGCGCCATGTGGGTAGCTGCCTGGCCGAGATCAAACTCATGCTGCAGTGTCTGGTGACAGCTTGATAGAGCTGAGACTTAACCTCTTGTGCCATCAGGGAGAACCCCTTGTTTATTTTTAAAGATGTAATTTTAATAGGTATTACTTAATCATGAGCAGTTACTACATTCCCACGGTATAAACAGCATTCAAAAGCTACTAAAGGGTAGAGGTAGTGAAAGTCCCCCATCCTGTGCCCAAGCCACCCAGCTCGCCTCCCCAGAGGCAGCCTGAAGTGCTGTTTCTTATATGTTTCCAGAATGTTATATAAATACACACGCAGACAGGTATCTATGAGACTAGCGTTTCAAAATAAAAATCAGCCTTCACTTTCCATATTCCGTATCGCCCATGCTTTGCTTGTCCCCGTGCACCGCCGAGCGCCCCCAGAACAATGCTGGACAAAATTACTGCTGAGAGATGCCTGTGTCTTGCTCTAGACTCAAAGGAAATCCCTCTTGTCAATTAATTTTTATAGCTTTTTACCCAAACATGTTTAGCCAGATCTTAACCCTCCTGGAAGGGTCTCTCTGATCCCCATCCCTCTGGCGTCCCATGAGCCCTTAACCTTGATTTTCTTTTTTTTTTCTTTCCTAGAACAGAAAGGGCAGATTGGTCGAGAAACACTGCTAAGCAAGGCAGTGGGCAAGACAGGAGAGGTCTGCTGCGCCAACCAACCCTCGCATCTCTAACTGTCCTCTGAGCACGACCAGCCCCTTACCTGGCCCTGGAGTCTGTCCTGTAAAGAGCCGTTGGCCATGTAGGGGTAGATCAAGCTGTGGAACTGTTGTCCGGTGCAGAAGCCCAGCAGAGGTAGGACGTTGGGGTGGCGGCATCTGAAAGGCATCCGTGCAAGGAGTGAGGAGTCTGCTCTGCTGCACGGCCACACCCCCATCTCTCCCCCGCACCCCCGCGCTCCCCGCCCCCAGCCCCTCAGTAACCTCCCAGGCACCAGCTGCTCTGAGGCAGAAAGATGAAAGCTGCCTGTCTCCCAGGAATGGACATTACCCAGCCACGCTGCCCAGTAGCATGAAACCTGGACCGCCGTTTCCCCGGAACAGCGGCCCCCAGGGGCAGGCACGGCCAGTGGTCACCAGCAAGCTGAGGTGAAGCCCAGGACTGGGGTTCTCCCCTGAAATCCTCTCCCACTGGGCTCTGAGTCCCCACCTCTCTGGCCTCTCTCTGGGCCTCCTGCACCAAGAGCCTACGCCTTGGCCTTCCTCTGGGACCCAAGCCCCCCCCCCCCCCCCCCCCCGCAGGGCTCATCCTACTCCTTTATGCATTTCTCAACCTGGCGCCTCCCACCTCCACAAGGAACACCCCAAACCTCTCCAGGCCCAGCTCAAGCTCCAGCCCTGAATACCTACCTGCTTCCTGACGCCCAGTTGAATGTCCTGACTCAGCAAGTCCAAACCTCTCCGCCCACTGGAGCCCTAGGAACCGCCCACCCGCCCCTGGAATTCAGCTACAGGCTTGCCTGGGACAGCAGCCAAGCACACACCCAGGCCACCCTGCTTCCCGCTATTTACACTAATCATTATTCTCATCCCTCTCCCCACTGAACCGTAAACTCCCCGGGCAGGGCTGTGTCTCCATGTGTGCACCCCCTGGAGCCAAGAGAGTGACTGGCAGCTCATATTTCAAGGAGTGGAGATGTGACTTCCGGCTCCAGGAAGGCGAAAGCCGAGGGGTTTGTGTGTATGTGTGTGAGTGCGTGTGCATTCACACGTGTGTATGAAGAGATAAAGGATTAAAGAAAATACATGGAAATATTAATAAAATAGTGGCCATTTATAGTTATGATGGAAAGCAGGTGATTTCTATTGTTTTATTTATGGCTTTCATTACTTCTTAAAATATTCTACAATAATCACGCACGGCCTGCCCCGGGCTGCACGTGGGCAGGAGAGACACAGCCACGACTGCCAAGGATGCACGACAGCCAGAGCCCAGTGCCTGGCAGCTGCCGACACACACCTGCCGCCTTCCAGTCCATTGACAGGACAAACCCTCCCGCACTTCCGCAGCCCCACCCGGCTCCGTGACCTGGAGCCTCACTGCGCGGCTCCAACCTCTGTTTCCTCATCTGTTCAATGAGCAGGTTTGAGGACACCCTCTGGAGACCCTTAGTGTTCAAGACCAGGGCTCAGAAGCTTTCTCTGAAAAGAGCTAGAGAATAAATATTTTATTTTTTTAAGAAGTTGCATCTGAATTTTTTAAGAGATTTTATTTTTGCTTAGAACTGGGGTGTAGGCCAGAGGTGCGGGGGTGAGAGGACTCACCAGAGACAGAGTGTGGAGCAGAGCAGGTGGATCCACTGAAACACACTGCTGAGGGGAGCAGCGGGGAGACAGGAGAGGTCTGCTGCGCCATGTGGGTCAGCTCCCTGGCCGGGGATTGAACTCAGGCCATAGAGGTGAGAACTCTGAGACTTAACCCCTCGGCCACCAGGGAGGCCCTGAGAGTAAATTTATTAGACTCCGTAGGCCCCACAGCAGCCATAGCAAGAAAGGGTGAGCCTGGCTCCCACCCATAAACATTTATTAGGGACACTGACATTTGAATCTCCTATACTTTCCATGTGTCGTAAAATATTCTTGTTTCAACCAATTAAAAATTAGAAATCATTCTTAAGTGGGGACAGATTTGGCCTCCAGATTGTCAGGAGCCAGCTCCAGGTCTAGACAGCTGCAATTCTAAGAAGGATTCACCATTAGAGTTGGAACCAGTCTCAAAAACCTGGGATGAAGACCGATACCTTGCCCTTGGAAGCTGGGCATTGGGCCAAGCAAGCCATGGATCTTTCATAATTCCAATCTATGCACACAAACAGAAAAAGCAGGGAGTCTGGAGCTACAGCAACCTAGGTTCAAATTCCAGCTCTGTCACTTCCTACCAGCCGTGTGATTTTGGGCAAGATGCTTAGCCTCTCTGTGGCTCAATTTACCCATCTATAAAATGTGATTATAGTGGCTACGTTACAGGGGTCTTGTGAAGATTGCATGAGTTTATACATACAAACAAAGTGCTTAAAACATGCCTGGCACATGGGAAGCACTGTATCAGCGCTACCAGTCGTGATTATTATGCAAAGCATTTTCCAATCAGGAGGCTTACCTACGACAAAGTTGTACCTCTGCCTGGAAGAATTTCGTCAATGATCCTGGACCTGAGGTCATCTGTGGAAAAAGATACTGAAAGATGAAAATCCAGCCGCAGAGACAGCAGAGATAAAAGAAATTTCAAGCAATAGGATGAGTTGTCCAAAGTCCTATGTGAACAGGTGGACCGAACTTGGCCCAGCATGCTGACCATGAGGCGCCATGACAGACAAAGAGCGTTGGATTGATGATTATGTGACATTTTCAGCAGGGAGAGGCCAAGAGCCAATTTGCAAGTTGAAGTGTGACATGTCTGTACATGCCCAGCCTGGCCCAGCCTGGCCCAGCCAGAACAGGCTGTCCTCCACCCAACCTCGCCGACCAGCCCTTTAAATACCTCCTAGGGCCTCCCTGGTGGCTCAGGGGTTAAGTCTCAGTGCTATCAAGCTATCTCTGTGGCCACAGAGATAATAATAATTGAGGGCCTCCCTGGTGGTGTAGAGGTTAAGTCTGAGAACTATCATGCTATCACCCCTGAGGCCTGAGTTCCATCTCCAGCCAGGGAGCAACACACATGGTGCAGCAGACCTCTCCTGTCTCCCCGCTGCTCCCCTCAGCAGTGTATTTCAGTAGATCTGCCTGTTCTGCTCCCCACTCTGTCTCCTGTGAATCCTCTCACCACCCCCACCTCTGGCCTGTACCCCAGCTCTTACATGCATAAATAAATAAATAAAAATCTTTATTATTTTTAAAGATTTATTTTTTATTTATACAATAGCTGGGGTACAGAGCCACTGGAAGGTGAGAGGATTCACCAGAGACAGAGTGGGGAGCAGAACAGACAGACTGACTGAAATACACTGCTGAAGGGAGCAGCGGACACGACAGGAGAGGTCTGCTGCACCATGTGGGCAGCTCCCTGGCCGGTCGGGAATTGAACCCACGCTGTGGAGGTTGCGGACAGCTTCACAGCACTGCACTCAACCTGCTGTGCCACCGGGGAGGCCCAATAAAAATAAATCTTTAAAAATAAATAAAAAAAACATCTTCTCCTAATTTCCTCCGAGGATCGGCTATAGTTTCTTTGCTGCACCAGCTCCCTCATGCGTGAGTCTCTGATAAAGCCCTGCCTGGCTCAGCTACACTGAGCACTCTCTGGCAAGATCTTTCCCAGAGGGCAAAGGACCCACTCTTTTGGGTCAGGGCCTGGAATTCTCCCACCCTTATCAGCCAGGCAGCACTCACCTCATGAAGCTTCTTGAAGATCAAGGGCGTGCCAAGCCTCTGCCCTCTGTAGACGTCAGCAAAGGCCCCCTCATGGATTTTGTGGTTTTGGTTGAAGTTATTGGTTGCTTGGACCACATCTGCTTCTCTCCAGGAGAGACTGTCCTCAGACAGGCTCAAAAGTGTTTCCGGCTGAGGCCAGAAGGTGCTGACGTTCTGGGGATTCCAGAGAAGACACGGAGATTTAGATGGAACCAAAACGGAAAATACCATCCTCCTTCCTACCTCGGGGACCTGAGAACACCAGAGCTGAGGGGTCGCAGGGGCCACCTCATCCGGCGAGGAGGAATGGAAGCATGAACGGGCCCAGCTTCTCCCCGTCACCTCTGCCCTGCGCTGTGACTTTGAACAAGTGACTTCTCTCGCCTGCCTTCCCTTCCTCATCAGCAAAGATGATAACAAGGGCGCCTTAGAGGCTAATTTTGAAGATAAACTAAAATGGGAGTTTCCTTAAAAAATGCAAATGAGTCCCTTCTTTTTTCTTTTCAGTCTACCACAGTGGTCAAAGAGCTGAGGTGAGGCCACACAGCTGGACAGCGGCCAGGCCCGGGGCCTGTGCGCGGCAGACACCTGGGAAGCAGGTGCGGAGACACGGCCGAGACGTCTCCTCGCCGGAGCCGCGCCGGGGAGGTCTGTGAGAAGCAGTCTGCTTCCATCGCCTCCCTTCTTAAAAGTGAGCACACGAGATCGAAATGTTTTCAAGTTCTATGTGCTCTTATAAACCGTCTTAGAAAATGAGGGCGAGTCGGAGGGTACCCACAAACCCACTCCCCACTGAACTGCTATTAAACTGAGGGTGCCTCTTGCAATGAGACATATACTTTTTTTAAAAATTAGTATCAGGCCTCACATATACTTCTGATTCTGGTGTTTCCACTCAACATCATACCATAGCATCCTCCTGAGGTATTTGATGGCCTTTAGAACGATTAGCTAACGATTAGCTAACAAACCCTGCTGAATGAATGAGTCTCCCTGACGGAAGGCCCCCCCACCCGTGGAGGACGTCGCTGCCAGGCCCCCCATCACCACCCTTTCGGGGGCCCACGAAGCACGTTCACTTCTTTTCAAATCAGAAGGACAATGAACTTTCAGAAGAACATCTGCAGAGAATGATTTCATTTTTAACCGAGCTTGGATTACGATCCATTGCTGAACCAGATGTGATTGTGAAAATACATTCTGATTTTTTTTTATTCTAAATTTTGTCAGTGAAGGAAAAGAACCCCGGGGGCAAAGACCTGCCAAATCATGGGTGGCCCTGGACCCAAATCACTCAGGACTCAGGAGGACCCTGACTACGTGGGTCAAAACAGGCTGGAAGGGCAGCAATTTGTACGTGAACACTGCCACCCCCAGTGTAATTTGGGGGCAGAAGATGCCAATTACTGACTCTCATCAAGACACAAATGACACAAGAGCTCCCTGAGAAGGAGCTTCACTGCACCCCGCCCCGGCCTCCCAGACAGCCCGCGCTCAGCCGCTCAGGGGACTCCCACAGGTCCCCTTCCCCGCCTCACTCACGCCCCGTCCCGCTCAAGGAATAAGCACATTGCATTTCTGAGAGAGCTTCAAGCTGGGGGAGCTCAGGGGTTACCTTTGAATTAGATGGAGGGGTTTTTAAGGACCGCGGGGCATCTTCACAAGGAGGCAGGAGGTTGGCTCTGGCTGGCTCCGGCCCTGGAAAGGGGGGGCTGCAATCAGGCCCGGCCTGGTGGAGAAGGTGAGGACGCCCCGTCCCCAGCTCCTCTCCAACACTTACCGTCCACCATGCCCTGTCCCGGCCCAGCCCCCACTCCCCCTCACCCATACCCCATGGAGGCCCACCACAGGCCACAGGTCCCAGGTAAGATCCCCATTTGACAGGTGGCGAGACAGAGGCACTGGAGGTGGCCGCTTGTCCAGAATGTGGCTGAGATCCCGGTGACTTCTAACCCCTCACGCAAGGAGCAGAGAAGGACATAGAGGGGGCGAGCTACCAAGCCTGCCTTCCAGAAGCCTCCACAGTGGACAGTAACAACCAGCCTCTGAGGTCAGGGGGCAGGAGGGACAGGCCATAGCAGGCTGGGCCATCAAGGAGGGTTCCATAGAGGAAGGTGCATTTGGCCTGAAAGACGGGAGCTGTTTGGACAGAAGGGTCTAAGGCTGGAGAGCACCATGGCTGCAGGGCTGGCCCGGGCAGGGGCGGGCAGCAGGAGGCCCAGTCGCAGCCGGGACACAGGAACATGTGCCTGACACCACGGGGCTTGCAGCCGCCTCAGGAGACAGGGTTGTCTCTCCATCCTCATCTCCTCACAGCAGGAGAGACGGCGGCACAGAGGAAGTAACCATCCCAAGAGGGGCCTCCCTGCTGGCACAGAGGTGAAAGACAGTGCTTTCAAGCTACTGCCAGCCACTGCAGCACGAGTTCAATCCCCAGCCGGCAAGGGAGCTACCCACATGGCGCAGCAGACCTCTCTTGTCTTGCCCGCTGCTCCCCTCAGCAGTGTACTTCAGTGGATCTGGCTGTTCTGCTCCCCATTCTCTTGAGTGAATCCTCTCACCCCCACACCTCTGGCCTGTACCCCAGCTTTTGTATGCATAAATAAATAAATCTTTAAAAAAAAAAAAGTAACCATCCCAAGAGCACAGGGTTTTGGTTCCCGAGTCTGTGCTTGTAACCCCTTGGGGGGATGAAGAAGTTCAGGAGAGAGAAGGCTGGAAGAGGAGACAGGGCCAGGGGGTGCAGAGCGTGGCGCTTCCTCCCCAGGTACACGAAGATTCATTGCAGGCTACTGGACCTCCAATGAAGACAGCACAGACGCCAGGGCCAGTCCCCACGCAAGCAGGCCTTGGCCAAAGGCCAGAGGTGGCACATGTTGGCGCCAGGACACACCCGAGCGACCTATGGCTGGAAGGGCTTCTGAGAGAGGAGGCCCTTCCACGGGACGTGGTCTCGCCTCCAGGGTTGCTGCCACCCCCCTCTCCTCCAGGATTTCTGATTTACATCAAGGAAGGAGGGATGAGTCTGAAACCTGGTCGTAAAAAACTCTCAAAGGCTGAACCCAGCAGCTTGAGGAAGCTTGCCACGGCCTCGCTAAACTGACCCAGGCAGCTGACAAAACGTGGCGACCCGGGGCGGCCCAGCCTGCTGCCTCTGGGTCTCTGGCAGCCTTGGAAGGCGTTGCAGAGCCGGCAGCACCCCGGCCTCCCAGCTGCACTGGCCCTCGGCTCCCCAGGCACGCAGACTTATGCAGGCCTCAGGCCTTGGCTGGCACACAGCAGCTCTGACTCGCCTGAAGGCTCCAGCCTCCCAGTCCTCCACCCCCGCCCTGCCTCTCCTTGGCGTGCCCCCCAACGCGGTCACATTGTCCCATCTCCTCGTTCTTGGCCACATCTCTGTGCCCTTCGCTGTGAGTCTTCAAATTTCCCTTACCAACCCCTTTCAGTCCACATCTTCTTGCGGGTAGCCATGGAGTCCCTAGTTTCAGGTGCCAGCCAAGTTCTCACATCTCACCCGTCTCTCTCTTGCTTCTTTCCCACCAGCAGCGGGCTTCCCTCAGCCATGATCTCGGGCCTGGCGCGATGGTTGGGGGCTGCCAGGGAGACCGCACCGCAGTCTCGGGGCGGAGGGATCACCTCAGTCAGCTCGTGCCAGATGAGGCTACTAATGTTGGCGGAGTGGCGAGCATGCTTAGCCCTGTGGTTTTGGCTCCAGGGCTGCTGGGAGTTGAGCCAACACCACAAGGCTGTGAAGTCAGACAGAAACAAGTAGCCCTTGCTCAAGACTTTGCATTCTTGTTCTTCAGATCCCAGTTCCAGGGGTCTGCAGACGTTGTTTAAAAATATCCTTATGCTTTCTAGAATGGTCTATGACCAGGCTCCCCTCCAGGGACACTATTAAGAAGCAAATTCATTAGGTGGGAAACAAAGAGCCTTCTCACAAGTGAGATTAAATGCATCTTATTTTCAGACAACCTACAAGACAAGTTTTGCTCAAAAAACAGTGCCTCCCCTCCAAATAAATCAAGGCCCAAGCCCATGACAAGCTCGAGATGACATTAATCCCACGAGTCTGTGCTGTGCCGTGTGGGTGAAAAGCAGCCAGGTCTGAGGACAGGGGACAGATGCAAAGCAATGGCCCAACTTGTTAACATCCTTCCATTTCTAAACCTTCCCTGAAAATCAGAGACGGGGTCACACCCTCCTCATGGAGGCTCCATACACACCCCCCCCCACCTGCACCCACGCGTCCACCAGTTAAGGACTGGCAGCTTCGGCGTGAGCGAGAACGTGCCCCTCCCTCCCGTACCCTGTCCCGGAAGCCCTGTTCTCTGGTCCCTTCACGACACGACTTCATGTCACCTTTGAGGGGTCTTGTCTTCTGCTTTGGGGAAGCTGGTTTCCTGCAAGCGCTGATCCCTGACAACACCAACACCGGTGGTGAGGGTGCTTCTAGGACCTTCGCCCTCGGGGTCTGAAACAGGGACATTTCCACCAGGGAGCAGCGAGTCACCAGAGTCACCCTCTGTCCTCGTGAGCCTCTTCGCTCCACCTGCCTGACCTTGCAGACGTCCGAGAACACCTCAGCCTGGCTGAGGAGGTGCCATGACAATCATGGTGGCGGCTAGGGGGAGATGGCCTCACCCTGGCTTCGTAAGTGCTCGCAGTGGGATGTGTCAGAGAAGGACTGGTCGACACAAATGTCATTTCCTGCAGAAATCTTCCTAGAAAGTCTGCCTTCCCAATCAGACCCTCCCGTCTGGGAAGCGGAACCTCGAGTGCGGTTTCTGTCTCCTGCACTAGGGCTGCAGGGGCCTGCCTTACAGCTTCCCCATCACCCTTCTTGACATCAGACAGAAGCGGGCCCAAGTCTGGGCTCCATCACTACAAAGGTCTGACCCTGGGACACGTGCCTCATTTCTCTGAGCTTCCACCTGCGTAAACAGAGCAGTAACAACGCATGCCTCAGGGCTGGTGTCCAGATTAAGAGTGACAGTCACGACACAAAGATCAGCCTCTGGCATACACACAGGTACCGAGGCTGGTAAAACTGGAGAGTTAAGAGGGCAGTCGACGTGGCTTCGCGACACTAATCTACGTGACATTCGAGACGGCACAGTGGAAACAGCAGTGTGAGCCCAACAGCACCCGGACGCTGCATCATTGGTTCTAACGCGGCATAACTTGAAAATTTCAGCACCTAATTAAGCTTATCCAAGGCAGTGATTTATACAATAAAAGAACAGAAATACTGAATTTCATTTTATTGACATTAAAAAGATGAAATGAAAAAAGAAGTAACTTAAACTGGAAAGGGCCATTTCAAAATCAGTCCGAGTTAGCTAATGGAGTGGGTGGGAAAAACCAAACTCTCATACCAAGTCACTAAGTCTTCCACCACCGCCCTGCTTTTTTCTAACTTCTTGTTCCGATTTCATCAAAACATTCCTTTCACCGCACTCTAAGGACCTGTGTTTAGCTCAGCACCACCTTCTTACACAGATCAACAACCGCCCCATGTGTGAAGACACTTGAGGACCAAGGAACACATTTCTATACTTTACCAAGAAAGAAGGATGGGCCTCCCCAGTGGCGCAGGGGGTTGAGCGCAGCACTGTGGAGCTGTCCACAGCCCCTGCAGCACGGGTTTGATTCCCGGCTGGCCAGGGAGATACCCACATGGCGTTGCAGACCTCTCCTGTTGCGCCCACTGCTCCCCTTAGCAGTGTCTTTGGTCTGCCTGCCTGTTCCGCTCCCCACTCTGTCTCTGGTGAATCCTCTCACCCTCCCGCGCCTCTGGTCTGTACCCCAGTTCTTGTATAAAAAGTAAATAAATCTTTAAAAAAAAAAGGCGGGGGGAGCCGGCGACAAGGCGCTGCACCAACACAGGCGCTGGACTGCCTGACGTGCGGCAGTTTAGAGTGCCCCATCTGTGCCCACCACCTTTCAGCCAAGCCCCCCGGGGTGGGGTTGCTCAGCAAGGCACCTGGGCCAGAAGTCCGAGGGCAGGGCCTGGCTCTCCCACCTGCCTGTGCCCCACATGTCCCAGCCACGGCCACCTCCACTTTCTCCCCTCCCATGAGACAAGCCCTGGGCTTGAACTTTGGGGCCTAATGGAATCGGTGGTGTCCCAGGAGAAGACGACTTTGGGTTCTCTGATAAAATTAAAGATGACTCTTACATTCAGTTTGGGCAAAGATAGGCCATCAGCTTCCTGTCTGTGGTTGTACTTACAATCTGGACTTCTGGGGTGCTTGTGCGAGGGGAAGGGGAGTTTACCCTCCAGGGGTCAAAGGCTGGTGCGGCCTGGCCGGGGCACATGCCTGCTGTCTCCTCTGTCCCGACCAGAGCCCTCCTACAAGTTCCCTATTTTATTTTCTTTATCCCTTTGACTATGAACCCGCTTCACATTTGATTTAAGCCACTGCCCCTGACCTGTCATTGCTGATTGAACTTCTGCAATTTTCTTCTTTTTTAATCTTCAGCTACAGGAAATAATTCACATTCCTGGAGCAAGAAGTAATTTCCCAGACTCACCCTATCTGCTGTGTCTGGAATGTTCTTAATAGGATCAGGTGACATTTAGCAAGTGCAACACCAGGTGCATGCCTCCTTGCCATGACAGGACGGCAGGGGTCTGCCACTCCAAGATGAAGAAACTCAGGTACAGAGAGGCTGAGTCATTCCCCTGCTAGAAAGTGGCGGAGCTGGGATTCAATGGGCGCCTCTCCTCCAGCCGACCAGACCCCATCAGGAACCGCCCCATGATCTGAGCTTCCAGGATGAGGCTCTTCAGCCTAATACTCTGCAGGGCGCAGAGGGGCACCAGGTTCCAGGGGAGCAGCGGGGAGCAGCACCCCTCGGGAAATCATCCACTGGCTGAGTCCCTCCACCCTCTGGCAAACTGCCCTGGAGCCCATCACCGGCTGCCAGGGATGGAGACACATCCCCTCCGCAGGCTCGGGATAGCAGCGTGTGCTCAGGGGCATCACGTGGCTTGTAACATGGGGATCAAAGCCATGCTACTCCCACAGCCTTGAGGGGGGCCGCTTCCCTCTCTGTGCTCCGGGCACTGAGAACAAAGCTCAGGCCTTCAAGTGCAGGGGGAGGGGGTGCGGACTGGGCATGCGAGGGGCAACTATGTGAAAACAACAGTGCGGTTGTCTCTGTGCTTCAGCTTCCTGTCTGAGAAGTGGGGGTGACGACGCCCCCTCGCTGGGCTGGCGGGGACTGAACAGGCACACCTCTGAAGGGCTCAGGACTGAGTCCAGCGCGCAGGAAGCTCTCAGTGACCGCGCTGGTTCTTTTCATGGAAACGGTGATGAATGGTATACACTCTTCTGTTACCTGCTTTTTTCACTTTTCAGACTCAATATAGTGTGGACACATGGCCATGTGCAAATTGCTGCCGACGGCAAATCCTCACTTAACTCGTCGTGGTTGACAGGTTCTTGGAAACTGACTTTAAAAGTCAGAAAATGCGGGACAAAAAGGCCTTCGAATAAGGTCGGTTCTCTCCACACTGGCCGGGATTGTTCTTTTCTCATCGGTGTTGTAATGAAATAACGTGGAACAGTGCTGCTGAAGACGCTGCTAACGGTGTTTCATTGTCTGTCACTAATTCCCTCATCCCCACGGTTGTTTCCACTCTTGGCACATGACCGCATGTGCCAGGCTGAATACCTTCCACAAAAATCTTCTTTTCTTTAAATGAATCCCCTGGATTTTTATTTATTTACTTTTGGGTAGAAGAACTGGGGTGTGGGGAGTGAGAGGATTCACCAGAGACAGAGTGGGGAGCAGAACAGGCAGATGTACTAAAATCCACTGCTGAGGGGAGCAGCGGGGAGGCAGGAGAGGTCTGCCGCGCCATGTGGGTAGCGCCCTGGCCGGGGATCGAACTCAGGCCACAGCAGTACTAGCACTGAGACTTAACCCCTAGGGCACCCGGGAGGCTCTGAATCCCCTTAGAATTAAAAAAAAAAAAAAAGTGAAATATAATCAAAACTACCTGGGTCTGGGGAGGTGGCTGGCGTCACAGGCTGCTCCTTCGCTCCATCCTCGGGGTTTCTCCGGGGAGCTGCCAAAGGCCTTTCTGACTTCTCAGCAGCCGGGAAGTCTGGCACAGGGGACTTGACTTCAGGTATTGGTTTCCCTGAAACCAGAGGGAAAGAAGAAAGTTACTATTATTCCACCAAGCGGGCGAGCTCTGGGGAGCTGGGTCCTGTTCCCGACTCTGCCTCAAATGCCCAGTGTGCCCAGGCAGGGTGTCCCCCTTGTCTGCTGTGAAACGAGGCTGTTCATGGAGCGATGGGTCCTGATGTCAGTTCATTCCTGACGTCCTGAGCCAGACTAGCAGGCTTTCTCACCCTATTGGCTGTGTGACCTTAGCTAAGTCACTTTCCTTCTCTGAGCTGCTCTCCTCGCCTCTAAACTGGAGAGTGTAGTAATGACCACATCTGCCGGGCCCACCTGGGGCAGCTGGAAAGAGAGACATGAGAACAGACACAAAAGGCTGTGCCAGACCAACCACTTTCCTGAGCATGGGAGGAAGTTAGAGATGTCCCTCCTTCAAGGTCCCTCAACAAGTGCTGGGGTCAAACAGCTTCCCCTACGGTGACCATGTGCAGCTGGGCCGAGCCCGGGCCCAGCTCCACATAATCAGATCCTCCCAAGGTCTTTGCGCTTCACCCCTGTTGGCGGGGAGGAAGCTGAGGCCCCAGCAGGTCCGGGACTTGCCAGGATCAGCCCTGGGCGGGCAGAGCTGGCCCGAGTAGAGGTCACCTGCCTCCTAAAGAGGAATCACTTCCCCTTTGCCTCCACCTGGGAACCCCCCCGGGCGAGCTTCAGTGGGCTCTCGGAGCCGCAGCTTCCTCTTCTCCCCATCCCCGGTACCCGCTGCCCTGCTGCCCCCTCCAGGTCCTCCGCAGGCTGCAGTGCTAAAACACCCACTCCCGTGCCTGGAGCCTCCCGTTCGGGTAAACGCACACTCTCCACCAGAAAGCCCTCGGCCTCCACCACCTCCCAGAGCAAACCTGAACCCTGCAGCCCTGCCTTCAAGGCCCTGTACCCTCTGGTGGTCGGGGGTGGGCCCACATTCACACGCCGACAAGCACAGCCCAGCCCCAGTGTGACTTTCACTTCCACACCTCCTCCGTGCGCACAGAGGCCCAGATGGGTGCAAGGGTTTGTCCCAGTGACACAGCTGGCAAGATGCAGACCCGGAGCTACCCTCGCGAGGGTGACTAGGGCAGAGAGAGTGACTCAGACACCACTGTCCTCACCAGGCCCCTGGCCAGGCTGGCCCCAACCTGACCCCTCACTCAGGGCTCCTGGTGACAGGATGCCCTCCCCCCACCAACACACAGCCATTTCCGGTAGAGGCCAGGCCCCAGGCTGGAGGCTCTGGTTACATTGGTTACACCAGCTTCCTACAGGCCCTGGCTGCACCCCAAAATGTCCCCGTGGCCCCGGAAAAAGCCCTTTCCTGGATCTGCTGCCCAGCTGAGCCTCAGTTTCCTCATCAGTAAAATGGTTGGGGGGGCAGGTCACGGGACCCAGGACCCCAAGTTCCCTGGCTGCAGGCATTAGTCATTCTGTGGGCATTTTTGGCAGGACCGTCAAGGCCACCGTGGCTGAGCTCCGTGGCCAAGATCCGTGGCCTCCATCATGGGAAACAGAAGAGGCTTCCTTAGGTCTCATTCTGAGGAGAGTCCAGCTTCCCTTTCCTCGATCTTCCCACCGTGACGGACACGCTGGCCGACAGCGGCCCAGGCAGGCTCACACAGGGCAACCCGCCTCTTCGGGGTGGCCAGCTCAGCACCCCCAAGTCAGCTGACAGAACCCCACGTCAGGCAGCAGGGACAATCGGATGAGGAGTCTGTTTCCTGTGAAAGCCCCGTCTCAGCACGCTGCGGGTTTTCAGAGAGAGACGGCAAATAATGCGCATCTACCTCTTCACTCTGCTCTCGAGGCACCTGGCCTGAGTGGGAGGGTGCAAGGCGGGCTTGGCTTCTCCCACCTCAACACCAGCGGAGGGAGGGTGCGAGGCTTCCCTGGGGCCTTCTCAAAAGACTCCACACATAAAGGTCATTCTTCAAGGTAACGACACCCCAAATTATCAGCTGAGACGAGGGTAGAAGAGGAAGCCTTGGTGCCTGAGGGCCGCACCTGCCACTGGGCTGCCTGGCTGTGTGCCCCACGCACATTCCTGGGCCCTCGCAGCTCATACGGTCTTCTGTGGAGTGGGGGTGACTGTGACCCCTCCTAGGTGATCCCAGGACTCAGGGGGATGGGCACGTAGAGTCCCCTCTGCACGCTTCTCCTGCCGGCAAAGCATACACAAAGCACCTCTGACTCCGACCCAGCGACTTCCATGTTGAAGCCTCCAGGGGAAACTGACTCTCAGTGGCAGCGGCTTGGGGCCGGGTTCTAATGGGCAGGGGCTGTGGGGCAGTCATCCGGGAGCCCAGCTGGGGCATGGGGACCTGCTCCCCTGCCTGTGCCCATGGAGGACAGGCAGCTTGGGCGCCCCTCTCTGCTGGAACCCCCCGGACCAGAGGAACAGCTCACCCGAAGCTCCCGAGGGTTGACGCGTCAGTTTTCAGAGCAGTGAAATCAGAGCCAGGGTGGGGCCGAGAACCACTGACTGAACCAGAGGACGAGGACTGAGCGTCAGGCCCCGGAGGTCAGAGCTTGGGGGCAGAGCATTTCTCTGTGCCCCCCTCACCATGGCCAAGGGTGATGGCCCGGTGTCTCTTCCTCTGTGTATTTCTAGGCTGTCCCACCTGCTTGCTAGTGAGCCTGGGGCGGGCGCCTTCAGCCTGGAGCCAGATGCTGACTCCAGTCACATCCAGTGCTCGGCCAGCCAGTCAGACGGGGCTCGCCAGCAAGGTCACGTCCTAAGTGTCAGTTTCCTCACCTGCCCCAGGAGACCAGCCCTGTCCCCCACCCTCCAGGGAGCCGCCTGAGGATGAAGAAGCGACTGCTCAGCAGTTAGAAGCTGTTGTTATCATTTACTATTATATTGTTACCCCGATCTGGAGGGCAGGCTTCGCCCTGCGCACCTCCCTGCAGGTGTGGCCCATTACTCAGCTAACAGCTCCGGGGAGAGGCCCAAGCGCTCTCTCTGTGTCACACTTGAATCAAGTGAGACCCAGTGTAACTACCTGGTCTATATTCGGCGTCTTTACTCCCCACCCCCTTCACTGGCAAGGCTAAGCCCCTGGGCCCTCGCCCGGTGCCTCCCTGCTGCCCAGGAACACTGAATGCAGAGGCTACTCGGAAGCTCAGGGGGCCCCAGCTGCTGATGAGGCATTTCCTTGGTGAGCACACCCTGGAAATCCCCCCCACTTTCACAGCCCTGAAGTGAAACAACAATGCACTATTTGTATACTTGTTTTTATTCTTTGGCTGACTCATGTGGACCTTGAACACGCAAAAGTAATTTTGGCTGTAACTGAAGGGCCCTGGTGCCAACCACATCAGGGACAGATAGAGCTCTCTGGGCCCTCTTTTCTGTTCCCTTCTCATCCCTGGGGTTGATGAGCCTTCTGGGCACCCGAACCATCGCATACACACGTGCACACGCACACAACTCAAGCCAGGCTCAGATCGGGCAACCCTGAGGCGTGACCTGTCTCCTATTCACTGTTTCTGGTTCTCAGGGAGCCCAAAGCCCCCAGCTGCCGGGGTGACTCACCCTTCCTTACTCATTCATTCACGGTGCCAGGGCCTGCCAAGGCCATCTGTTGTCAAAACTGAGTGAGAAAGATAACTTTTTTAAAAGATTTAAAAAAAAGCTGACATCATCCTGACATTAAGCTGGTCAACTAGAAACACCTCATTATAAGTAGGGAGGAGTACTATGCTGAAAACATGCGAGGGGGCGGTACCTGACAGACCTACTTATGTGGGGTGTCCAGGGAAGGCTTCTGTGAGCAGAGCTAGTGTAAGAAGAGACCCAAAGATGAACAGGATTCACCATGCGAAGGACGCAGGGTTGCTGGGGAGGAACCAGCCATCTAAGGAGAAGCAGCTGCATATGCAAAGGTCCTGAGGCAGAAAGCAGTTGAAATTAAATGAATGTGGGGCCAAGGTGGCAGGAAGGTGAGAGAAATGAAGAACGGGGCCAAGAGACCTCGTAGACCATGGCTAGGTAGAATTTCATCATGAACCCTTTGGGCTGAGATGACCTGTAGCAGAGACAGCCCCCACCTGGGCACCTTCTCAGAGCCCAGCCTCCCTTGCAATTCAGCTGGGAGGCGGCTGGTTCTGGGCAATGGATTTCAAGTGGAAATGTTCTCATCACTTCCTGGACAAAGCAATTAAGTTGAGGGAGACTTTTCCCCGCCAGGGTGACCACAGATGACTTAGCCGACCACAGGCTGCAGAAGGCCACTCCACCCATGTTGAACTTTGAGAAAACAATCTTCGTCGTGTTGAGCCGAGATTTCAGGGCGTATCTATGGCCGTCACGCCACCTAGTCTGCCCAGGTCAGTGGGTCATCTCAGCCGGTGTCGATCCCTTCATCCCAGGGCAGCCGTGCTCCAACAGCAAGGCCCAGAACGTTCAATCCATGACAGTCCTCCAGGTACACAGCCTCCCCCTCAAGACCCAGGGGTGGTGTGTGTGCCCCATACACCTCTCTGTCCGCTCTCCCCCTGCTTCCGAGAAACCAGCAGCGAAGAAGGTCACGCTTCATGCCAGGGAGCGACTATGCGTGGGAGGATGTCAGGCCCTGGTCTGAGCAGACCTGGAGGAAGCATCACAGCTCATGTTCTGAAGCCTCCCCGTTCACAAGGAGGGTGAACAAGGCCAAGTCTGCTCATGTTTTCAGGGGAGCTGACTCAACACCTGCCCCAGAAGGGCTGAAGGTCCTGTGGACCTGAACTGCAGCCCCTGAGGGGGTGGGGGAAGGACAAGGAGGGAGCACGCGCAGTGGGCTCTGGGGGGGACAGCGAGTGACCCCGTGGTGGGTGGCCATGGTGGGCACATCCGATGGGGGGATCCTAATGGGGCCACCGTTAAAAAAAAAAAAAAAAAAAAACCACAAATAAATGCATTTAAAACTAAAATAAAATGAACAGCCTATGTTGAATTCCAAGAAGCAATAACAGGCCCAGCAGACCTGACGTCCGTCGGCCCACGAATTC